TGGATACTTCGAAATCAATGACGAAGAATATCCCCTACCTCTAAGGTAAAAAGGAGTAAAACATGACTAAACTCTAGCCACTCCTAAATAAAAACATAAAAAATAAAAACAAAAGAGAAACACTGGGAACGACCGATGTATTATATGTAGACTCAAATAAGATGTAATGTTTTGAAAAAGAAAAAAAGTTTAAGACTTTAAATCTAGTTAACTAGCAATAATAAAGAAAAAATAATAAAATGAATAAAAAACACAGTTTTCCTCATTATTTTTCCCAAGAAAAACATGTAACCACTTCAAAAACTTATAGTTAGAACGAGGTAAATGTAGTCGCAAGGTACTTAGGGAACAGACTTAATAATAAAAGTAGTTGCAAAGAAAAAGAAAAATAAGAATGCAAAGGCGAGTGGAAACTTTTAAACGTATATAAAAGTTTGGAAGATAAGAGAGAAATCGATATTTTCTAGACTGAGGACACATCCACAATTTCTATATTAGTCTATGGAGGGGACGGACATGTTAGAGAGACCAAAAAAAACTTGGGAAGAAAAATAAAATAAATATAAATAGATGACTATAAACAAATAAATGTCTCATAAACAAAAGAGGATTACCCCAGAAACATTTCGATCTCAAAAACTATGGAAAAATACAAAACATACCCAAAACTAACTAGTAAAAAGAGCCGAAGATTAATTCCTGCCCACACAAGAAACACAAATCACAAACTATTTCTCAATACCATTAATATAGCTTAACTCATATAATGGGAAAGTATAGGAAGTACAACAACACCTAAGACATTGTATATGTATGTAATTAAAAGTATGGGGCGGACCGATTTAAATTAGTACATTAAATCAATAAGATAAATAAAAGCTAATGTCAGTGAAGCAAGTAATTCACAGAAAAGGTGAAAGACAAAGTCAGGAGGTAAATTGAGAAATGAAAAGATTAAATAACCTGAAATCCAGAAAATAAAAAAAATAAAAATTATGAGAGATTTAGGTAGTTCGATTTAATTTTTAGTAATTTCTTTATAGATTTTTTGTTTTTATTTAGCCTTAGGAACTGTTTCAAATTTAAGTTTAGATCCATTATGTCCTTCAAGGCTTTGTAGAACCTTAATGTCTTATATTTGCAATATGTTTTCCCATTAAAGGAGTATAACCAATTAATGGCATCAATAATGAGGCTATTGTTACTATGGTTTCTCAAAATATGGTCAAAGAAAGTAAGGCGCTTCTTTTTTAAAGACACGTGAACTTGGTTATGGTTAGACATCTTCCAAAGGTTTTCATTCGAGATGATATTAGGGTAAAAAATTACATTTATTATTCTTAGACAAGACATTTATTTACAAACGTTTGTAATTTCCTAGTTTCGGTCTTGGTAATCTCTCATGTATCACCGCCATAAAAGAGAATTGATAGTTGAGTTGAAAATACGGAGTCTAGTAAAAACTGATATCTCCCTAGCTTTCCACAGTTTGAAAAATTTATAAAAAGCTGCTCTAGCATTTTGTATATGGATTTTTAGTTCCTCTTTACAACTACCTTTATGGTCAATGGTTACACCTAGATATATAAAGGATTTCACCACCTTAACCAACTTATCCCCAACCACCAAATTATTCAGAAGAGGCGCCTGAGATGAGGGCATTATCACTGTTTTATCGAAGTTTATAAAGGAGTTCAATATAAAGATCAAATTTTGGGTTTTTTCCAAACTTTTAAGTTTATGTAATGAAAGTAAAAAAAATATACCACGATATAATTATCCACGATAAAACCAAATAATTATATGTATTTATCTATTTTTATGGTATTGGTTAAAATTGTATTTAAACAATATTTCAAAACCAATATATTTAGGTTATTGGTATTGGTTGTAAAAACAATACCAATATTTAATTATATATTGGTATTGGTCCCACCCCTACATAGTTCCATATTATGTTTTTAAATTTTCGATTTCTTTGAAATATTAGGCGTTGTCCTAAATGGGTCATTTTACAAATATTATTTGCTATTTATTTTATAGAATTTTAAAAGTTAAATATACTCATATGGTTTCAGCTGGTCAATTAATATAATTTGAAATATATTTTATAAAAATTTGTTTTGTTTCTTTGGGCATTTTTCAATTTAATAATTCCATCTTATCATAAAAAATATTATTTATAAGGAAATGTACCTTATGATTTTTTTAGAAGAATTGATATAAATAACCACCTCCATTTTCCCTTTCCCTAATCTTTAATAATGAAAACGGGATTGTAGGTAGGGGGGCTGCACGAGTTCAAAAAAAAATTTCAAAAAAACTATTCCTTAATTGACCGATTACCTGAGTTTCCTTACCTTTTCATAGTTATCGCGAATTCGTGGCGAAGTATTTTACATTAATTTGCCCCGAATTTTGCGCTAACTGTGAATACTGGGTTAATCAGTTCTTTTTCCCAACGTAGGGAGGATTTGGGCTTAAACTCATACGCTATCACCATATTTTAGTTGTTTTTTTAATATATGTTCTTTAGTAATAGATAGTTGTGATGTTGCTCCAATACTTGTTAAAGCTCGGCATAAGAGACTTACCAGAAGAAACTTTTGAAAGAATGATTTTTTTTCATATTTTGTAAGAAATGTTATTTGTTCATGAATAATGTCTTTACATCACTTTTGCAAGGCATTTTTCAAAATTCGAACGAAGCGTTCGGAAATTGAATTGCTCTGTGTTATATACCGCGTTTTTACGTGTTTGATACCGTTTTTAAAACTTTGATTAGTTTCCAACTCATTAATTAGGTGCCGTTGTTCAAAGCAAAAGTAGATGGGACTTCTATATATCTAGAGAAGTAGCCTACTAAGCATGATTTATTTAAAAATAAAACTACTATACAATTTTTTTAGCTTACTTTCCCAGATTCTAGCGATGCTGAATCCTGAATGCCCAGAGTGCTTTCTTTATATTACTTTGAACTGATCTGATAAATCATATACCATTGTTTATCGCCCACTAGGTATAAGCTCTTTCTGATTTTTTTATTATTATAAAAATTTGCGTTTCCTGGGTGTAGTTCCCTTAATAATTTAGGTATTACGCTTACATATGTTTCTTGTAAGAGAATGTTATTATTCAGTGTAAATTCCTGCCCTCCTTTGATACGGTATTACTTAATTCTCTAATATTTTTGTTTAGCCATTCCATAATAGATATGATGCAATCTTCGTTACTGTGATTTATTATACTTTTTAAAATTTGTTTATTTAGTCTAATTTCTCTTTATCTCTATATATCTGCCTTTTCTTATCCATTGGAATCGTCCTAAAGGGTCAGCGAGTTGACCAGAATTTCTGTTACTGCATCCTTAAATATCTTGAATTTCATTGTCATTGGTAACTGGATAGAATGATGCCCCATATTTTAAATCGCAACACCTAGCTTCTCTCAGGGGACGATTTGATTGGATGGGGGGATACGGTAATAATAAAATCCGTGCCCGTTTGATCCTGCGCGAACTTTAATTAAGCAATACTTTCGACTTGAGATGCACCCCCCCCCCCCACTTCGATTTTTGTTGTTAGGAAAAAGGGGGTGGTTATTTGTCTTAATCCCTCACAAAAATTATTTTCCGCGAGATACATTAAATAATATTTATTTTAGAATCAGAGATCTGCAAAGCCCGCCGGCAAAGCATAAATTGAATTGATCGGGCTGGGCAATTCGTACATAGAAAGTTAATAGGCCAGGCTGGACAATTCGTGTATGAAAAATCGGGCGGGGCTTCACAAATTTCTGATTTTAAATTTGAAATATTCTTTGAATTAACAATAAGCTTATTTCTTTTCATTATTTCCTAACTAAATTAAATCCAAAAATAAAATAAGATTATTCACTATTTTTTAGAGAATTATTGGCCGGGTCTCACATTTCATAAAATTTTAATGGGCCAACCCTAGCATTAGAATTTTTTTTAATTTCAAACTAATATTTTAATTTGAGCTGTCTAATACTAAATCTATGAAAAAAAATAAAATAAATTCACAAAAAATTAAACAAGTTATTTATTATATGATCCAATTGCAATTGCAAAGAAACTATACAGATATTAAAACACAATTGATTCATATAACGGTTGTTGTAGAAATGGATAGCTATAGTAGAGTATATATAAGAGCCTTAATTGACATTAGGAAAAAATTACATATTGAACATTAAAAATGTGATGGCTGGAACTTTAAAATTTAGAGAACAGGGTCTGATTTTACTTAAAAGTTTAATGGGCCGGACCTTTTTATAAAATTTTAACGGGTGGGCCGAGAAATTAGTAAAATTTTTATCAAATTTGATGGGCTAGAAAATTATTTAAATAACGGGATGGTTAACTTGTGCAGAAAATCTTAACGGGCAGGGCCTTGTGAAGTGAACACAGTAAAGAACCCCATAGTTTCCCTTTTTACTAAACTTAATCGGTTCTACTTATAAATATTAAAATTCAATAATTTTATGCTAGTTAAAAAAAATAAGAACAATAGACTTCAAATTTTAATTTTATTTAAAATCGTATATGGAATTTAATGCGGTCAATCATCTCTTGATTCTTAAATAAAAACTTAATATTATGTTTAACAAAAAAAAATTGCAACACTAGTTTGCAAGTTTTATTTTGAATCCTTATTAAAGATTAATACAAATAATTATATTTGGTGTAACAAACTTTTTCGTTTCAAAAAGATTTAAATTTTATCAATTGTCATCTAAAGGCTTTAATAAAACCCGGAAAATATTTTCACTTAAAATATAATTATTCCAACAATTTACTTAATAATGGAATGAATTAAGAATTTTAAAATTGTTGCACAAATCATGTTATTTCTTAATAAACCCCTTATTGCTATATAGGTTTTTACAAAGTTAAAATTATTAATTAGTATACAGTTTAAGTTGAATTATTAATTACATTTAGTCAATTATAACGTAAGATTTTTGTATCCATTTAGGATTGGAGCTTGGGCGTTGTGTGTATTGGTGGCGGGCGTCGTCTATGGTTTTGGACAGTCAGGGACGGTCGATCTGCTACTCGTGACCTTAGAATTGCTTGTCGATTAACCTGGCATCGTGATGACCTGCTAATACCTCCCTTTTCATTATCGGCAAAACCCTTCATTAAATCGCGTATTTCGAGGTTCCGTCGAAATGACAGGTATATGCAGGTCGCAGAACCACATGTGTCGGATGTAACTCCCACTTTCTTTCCACGAAGATACGCGGTTGTCGATTTTTCAGCTGCTTCGCCACTTTACTTGGCTGTTGCAGCCCATGAGGAGAGTTCCTGCTCCGAGCGGCCTGACGGTGACCGTAAATCGAGCTTCCATAATAATAACGACCTCCTTGATATAGAAGATCAAAAAATTTGTCGTAACGGTATTAACAATCATAACGGGAATTTGAACGGCGAGGTCTCCCGATCTGAGAAATTAGGGTTCGAACCCAGGCGCTGGTTGGAGCTGCTCCATCGATGCGTTCATTACAACGGGCCGGCTCTAAAGGACCAAAGACTCTGTCTGACTACTAGTAGTATTGCAGTGGGGCACAATGACGATAGTATGTCAATTATCTCAGACGAGAATAGTTGTCGAAGGGCAGTTGTTCCGATCATCTTGGAAAAGTTAATCAATTTTGTGACAGATTACGGTAATTATTTATATGAATGTTTTAAAATTCATCTTTATTTACGTAGGCCAGACAATTTATAAATATGTCAAAACTCAAATTAAAGTCAAATAATATAATGTATTTTAACATTTTTTAGATTATGTATTATTTTTTGGATAGGCCTAGAAACCAAGGGAATATATCGTTTAAATGGATCCCAATGTAAGATCGAAACCCTTATGAACCACTTAACAAACACGCATGGAAACAGTAATATCGCTTATAGCTCCACGCTTAACGTAAATAATAGTCATGTAACAACCAATGCAAATAATTGCGATAGCGCCTTTGATTCCTTGCCTTCCTTTGTTATTAGTCGCGATATATTTTCTGAACACGATGTGGCCAATGCTCTTAAACGCTATCTGAGAAATCTACCTGAAGCTCTCATACCCGAGAAAAGTCTAGAAAAGCTCAAAGAGACCGCTTTTCTCTCCCTGAACGAAAAAAATGATGCTCAGATTGTTGATGATAAACAGGTGATCGAACAATTCGATAATAGCAATACACAACCGACGATAGGCAATGTTGACGAAACATTAAAAAATCTCAATAGTAAATCTTCTATGTTGTTTTTTATCAGGCTCAAAATGTCAGAAAATCTACATAATTTATTCATATTTAATTGACATCAATGTTTTCAATAAATCTAAGGTGTAAAATTATATATTATCTAAAAAAGCATGTGAAATTCTAATTTTTCTTAAAAAGTATAGAATTTATATATAATAAACTACTAACTACTATAGTTTGGTAATGTCTATAATCCGCTAAGCATTGAGACGCAAGTTAATTTATTTTTGCTTTTTTTCAAAGTTGAGCTATATTATTAAAAAAGGGATAATAGTTTTTAAGGCTGTTTGCAGCAATTACCTTACTATACTAACTAATCATACTGATATTATAGAAATGGAATATCTTTAATATATCATCAATTGAAAAAAATTTATATAAATAAGCTGATTACGATAAATTAATGCAAGTCAAAATCAAGGCTTATAAGTCAATCCTATCATCGGCAGACCTTATGCCCGAACTTAATTACAGCACGCTCAGAAGACTTTTAGGTTAATATTTTTAGACTTGTTTAAAGGTTATCGTAATCATACGTTTCCTGATATGGATAAGGTATTAATTGATTATGATTTATTTTTATCAGAAGTAATAATACAGATACTAAATTATGGCCCGTTGATATTTTTCACCTTAACTGATACTTCTGACCTATACAATTAGTATATTTAATTTATTTTATAAATTGTTATTTTAATGATTTATCTTATCATTTCTTTTACTATCTCACATTACTAATTATCCACATGGCTAGCCTCTTCCCGAATCCGCAAAATGGGAAAGAACGAACATTGATAGGTCAAACTCAAAAAAATCTCTTTAATAATATATTTTTTTTAAAAAATTAGTTAAAATTCAATCTTGTTTTTAATTTAATATTATTAATTATTGTTAAAAATAATGAAAAATATAAATAACATTGGTATATCAAATAATAAAAAAAAATGCATTGAAAAATATGCCACTTGATAAAACGATTTAAGTATTTACGTAAAAAAAATAAAAATATTTCAAAGCAAGCGAGTTTCTAAAATCTAGGCCCGAATTTCAAGTTATACCATCCAAACCTCATTTCTTTTGTTGTCTATGGTTCTTTTTTCAGTAAACATTAAGGCTGTTTTCCTGTTCGTCTTATTTTTTGAAAATTATTTTGTATAGAACAAAACCGATTTCGAACTAGGACGCCCTATATCGGTTTGTTGGCAGTCTGTACATTAAATAAATATTATTCGTTAATTTATATAATTTTTTTTCGGTACAAATAAAATAAGGAGACTGCATATTTTTAATTTTATATCGGTATCGGTTAAAAAATATGGTTGTGGCACATTTCTGTTTAATGAGCCACCATTATTTCCACAATATCATATAAAATAATTCAAAGCATAAATTAATGAGAGGTTTTACTAGTTCTTAATTATATATATTAAATAATGGTATTATTAACCTATTTGGGTATGTGACAAATAGGTTCATACAAATAAGAAAAAAAATTTATATTTATAATTATTTTATAACAACCTTAATGTAAGGTCACCTGTACTACGTATCGTTGCATGAATCCAAAAACAACATGAGCGTTCAAAACCTGGCCTCCATCCTTGGGCCTGGAATAATGGCTCCACGCGTGAATAAATCGCCCGAATTCGAGGACTACAATGATACCAATGGGTACATTATCGTGTTGTGCGATTTGATAGCCAATTATTGTCCCATTTTTGATGTAAAAATTTGCGTATGCCTTTTTTCGTATCATTCTTTTTGTGCATTACGTGGGATGCATTAGTAAAGGCCCATGCACTTGGTCCGAAAATTTATTACAATTTACTTTAATTATACGGCTGAATCATACACCATTTTATATAATCCTATCAATTTTTATCGAAATGCCTTTTACTAATCAAATTTGTTGATATATTTTATTTTTAAAAATTTTTAAACTTTTATAATTGTTTATTCTGTCCCTGTCAAATTATTCTATTTTACCCTCTATATCTTACCACATAATGTGTCAGAGACCTTCATGGGTCAGGCCAGCCCATATCCAGCCTATGGACCTAATATGTTTTCTAGCAAGCTTGGGGTGAGCCTGGGTTTTTGAAATTTTTTATAATGGGCGGGCTTGGCCCTAAATTTTTTAAAATTCTAATTTCGCTAACTTAAAACAGTTGCTAATAAAAAATACCTCAATTTTATTCTTCTATAATAATAAATTATAGTTTTGTAAACAAAATAACTGCCTAAATACACTTAAATATTGTTTCTTTTATGAAATACAATAAATTAAATTTTCTGATATAGTTTTGGAAAAATTTAAACTTATTTTGGGCTGGACAATTATTTTTGATATTAAATATAGGCCGGGCCTGAGCCTAAAAATTACTGTGGGCCTGAACTGGGCTTGATCAAAAAATTAAGACCTACGAAGGTCTCTATCTGGTTCCGGCTGACTGACCACATGGTTATACAGATATCTAAGCAAGCCATAATTATATATAAAATATTTTAAGGCTGGAAGCATGAAAGTTAATTTTTGATTGTTTCTGTGCACGTGCTTTTTTTAATTTTTGTATTTTATATGCGCGATTAAAATAAAATAACCCAGGAGTTGATATAGTCGTTCATTGTCCCATTAATGACCTTTATTATTTATGCATCGTTGCTAAATGATTGTAATGCATCTCGAAACATTCATCCACAAGTTTTAATTGTATTGTTTCAGTTATTAAATGGAAAATCACGAACTTCTAGAGGGAGGGGGAAGAGCGGGTGAAATATCAAATTTTGGAATATTTTCAAATGAATTAGGAAATTTCAATCATATTATTAGTAAAAAACAAAAATTAAAGTTATTTTACTCACTGCAAGGAAGTTACAATCGTATTTGTTAGGACTGTGCCGATAATAAAGATCAGATCGGGTTTAGATACTTTTTTAATAACCTGTTTGATTTGATATTTTTTTTATTGTATTGAGTTATTTTATGATTTATCAACCAAAATTCATTTTATTTTTATTTAGAAAAATCAAATTATTTTAAAAGATAGAGTAATTAAAAATTTGAAAAGAATTTAAACATATCTTATGAATTACATTCAGATAGTGTTGTATAACGGTTCGATTTGGTTTATGTTTAAAACGGTAAACTCGATATTTTAACTCAAAGTAAATTACTCATGTGAAGGAAAGGTCTGGACATTTATTGGTAAATTTTCGAGGCAGGTAATTGTGTTTTAGCTTATTTAGCCCTTTTTTAAAAATCGTCTATCGAGCCGTACAACACTACATTCAAGCCATAGACATTTTTTGGAGAATAAAATAAACTAAATTCATTCGTAAAAGTTAGTTGGTTTTTTTATGACATTAGTTCAAATATAGATGGTATATAAATATCAATATGATTATCGGTTGGGTTTTGAAGTAATATCGGAAAATATCAGATCGGTGAAAAATTAGCCATGGTATTTGTTAATATAATTTATTTGTTAAAATTTTATTGAATAATTTTTGAAAATTTAGCAAGAGAATTTTATTATAAATGAATATTACTGTCGATGATTGAAGAATTTTTTTCCCCAAGAAAATTGAAAAATTATCTATGAATATTCTTTTCTTTTTTTTGTGAAAATTTTGGACCCCTTAACTACCTTGAAACCTTTTCTTTACATGGCAGTTTCTCCAAAATTAATCTTATATAGAGATATCATACATTTTTAGATTGTTCCCTTAAGATTGAAACGTAAATATAGATATATATAGTACACTTACACTGTATTTTAAGCGAGTTCTAATCATCGATTAAAAAATCTTATTTAGAATTTGTATTTAATAATAAACAACTTTAAAAAAATATATATACTATTTGCTTTTTTGACATGAATTGATATAATCTTATTTCAAATATGTAAGGTTGCAATGGATCAGTTTGAAAAGGAGAAGAAGATACGAGAAGGTTTCAAAAAAATGGTCCTGGCTAAATCTCGGGCTTCAAGTAGGGCGGGTGAATTTTTAATACCCGTTTACATATCACACGATTTGGTTCAAGGTTTTTACTTATATATTCTAAATTCGATTTAGTAGAAGAACGAAATAACGTTAATAATATAACATATTATTAATTAAAGATTTTATAAATTTAGAAAAGTAATATTTTTAATATGCGATTTAATAAAATGCCCCAGATTAGATTTAGGTAAACATATATTTGGTTTTGAATATCTATAATAAATCAATATACCCTATCAAACGAAATAAGATATCAAACTCAACCACATAACGACCTCTGAAAGCGATAATGTGAGCTGCGACACTAATAAAAATATCAAAAGCACCAATAATGGTATAGTAGACCAGTCGGGACCTAATTTTTTGCTCCTCAAGGTTTCTTCAAAAATGACTGCCCGCGATATAGTAATCACTTGTCTTTCAACCCCAAATACCGAAACCGGCTCTGAAACAGGGAGGGATCGAATATCTGAAGAAGAAACCGGCACAGACTTCAAAATACGCCTTAACGCTATCCTCGCCGCTTTACCCGCTGCCCCTCACAATGTCAAAAGAAACCGATCTAGCACCATTGATTCTCAGTCTACGTCGGATATCGGTTTGATGCTATATTAAAATTCATAATGAATATTAGGGATGTACCGATATTTTTTTATGGCATCGAGCTTTTTCCATATTTTTAAAATATCGATTATTGGCCGATATGATTAAATTTACAGATTAGATCAGATAAAATGGTGTCTTAATTTAAATTTATTAATAATTAAGAAAATATATTTATGCATAAATTAATAACATTCTTATAGAAGTGATATTTTTTTTAAAAAACTAACTAAATAATTGAAAATGTTAAAAATATAATAAAATACATATTTTATTTTTAAAAGAATATAATAATTTTAATGCATTTAATATCGGTAGTATCTAATCGGAGGTGCCTCCAGAAAGTGTTATCTGTACACCCCTAATGAATATATAGATTCCTAATTGGTGTTGTTAAACGGCAACTCGATATTTCATCTAAAAGAAAATATTACGCAAGCCTGAAGATTTTGCTCATAGAAGGAACAAAGGTCTAGACATTTATCATAGAAATCTCTAGACTTAGGCACTATTTTTCTGTCTAAAATATTGAGTTAGCCGTTTTAAAAAATCGGCTCAAAATGAGCCGTTTAACAACACTATTCCTAATATTATGTTGAGATTTGATCTTATATATAAACGCTTTTTTTATCCATATTTTTTAATACGAACCTTGATCGGGAATGATCAAATTTTTTTGACCATTTGTATTTATATATACAATCCATTCTTTAAACGTTTAACTTTTAAACGTAATTTTTTTAAATTGACATTTAGATATTGGGTCTAATCCTTGTGTAGTGGAAAGCATAATGGGTGGCAGGCTTAGAAGACCGCTAAAACCGAATGAGATAGTCTTGGATGTGGTACCCAAATGGACTAAATTATCCTCATTTTTCACATTTTTTAAGGTAAATTTTAAAAAAATATATTTTAGAAAGTAAAAATAAGTTTTTATATTCTTGGTTGGTGATAAATCTTAATTTGATAATAAATAATTTATGGAAGCTTATAGTTATATTATATATAATTTGTGACTGTTCCAATAAAATATTGATTTATTCTGGAGATAAATATATATTGTCTTGGGCAAATATGTAACCCAATAACAGAAAATAAAATAAAATAAAACGTTCTTTATAATTAAAGCTTTTTATTTAGCAAACCTTCTGATTTTGCTCTTAATGTAATGAATAAACACCTCTCATCTTAAATAAATTATAAGTCCGATGTGTATCATTTTTCGAAAAATGGCAACGATGACATATCTTTTACCCCAGGTTCAAACAACCATAAATTCTACAGCGAAAATATTATAACTAATGGTAACGATAATTCAAACGTGGTTAACGATGTAATTAATTTTCAATCGCCTACATTGATCTTGGAACTTGACGCCTGGTCCAACTTCGCCAAAAATGTAAAGCAAGCATTATTAGTTTTTTTATCCATACATTTTCAATGGTGGGAAAAAATCCCCGGATAACCCCCAAAATTATTATAAAAAATTTTTTTTTATATTCCGCTGATATAATTTTTTAAATTTGCGTAAAAATTATATTTCCTTTTTCTGATTTTTAAATTTACTAAGTTTAAAAAATATTCTCACAATTAGGATATGAAATAAACTTAACTTGGCAAAATTCTGTAATAAAATAATTTTATTTTGTTAGATAAAGGCATTCAATTATGTACATACAGAATATAATATAATAATTGTAATATTATGACACAGGCTGTCAATTAAGAAACTAAAGGATTAATTTATTATATAACAACAAAAATACAAAATTGCTTTCATTTTATTTAATTTAATGCCAACGTGAAAATTAATCATTACTAAATTAGAAATTTTACAGAACATTAAGAAAGTAAAATATATAAACTGTAACCGATAAGTTTAATTATTACTTTTCACTCAATCCCTTTACATTTGCAATCACATATTAATTTTAAAAAATTTGCATACTAAAAAATCCTTCCAGAGAATTGCTTCTTACGATGTCTCTTAATACCCCATAATTTTTTTTATCGAAAAAGTCGAAAATATCCCTTCCATTTTATAGCCGTCTTTAGGCATAGGTTATTTAACTTAATCGAAAAAGGCTACGCCGTTCATCATTCCACGAAAGAAACGTAGTTATCTGCCCTGTATAAGTTTTCTAGGCTTAGCTTCTGAATTATCTCTCCTGACATGATTTATTCTTTCAAATATTTTTTCGTACCTATCTAGCATTTTTAATGAATAAAGAATAAACAGCTGAGATAAAAAAGCGTTTATTATTATTCGAATGAATAATTGAAATTTTTGGAGACATAGCAAAATTTCCATCCAACATACCATGTTGGGATATTTGATTCATCCGCAACACATGACATGACATTCCTATCTTCAGAGAAAGGCCAGTATCCAAATAATAAAAATATTGTTTGAAAATATTGTTTGAGTTTAAAGGAACACAATTTTCTCAGTCACTTATAATAGATAAATTTTTTGAAAACAATTATACTTAATACTAATACCTTCAATAACTAGGTCTTGCAAATTCAAGGTTTGTATTAACACTTAATATTCTTTTTGCTGACTCCTCCAATAACATTTTACAACTTCTTCGGCATATATATAAAGAGGTTCTCCTAAACATCTTTATAACGCTTCTTCGTGTTATAAGCAAGTCATTTCAGCTAGCCCATTAATATTTGTTGGATGAGAATAGACAGTTTCGGATACCGGATCTTGATTTTGAAGTATTGACATTAACATTGTTGGGCATTTGAACGAGGAATACTTTGAGCAACGCCATCTTATCTTGTTAAATATTTCTTACGGATGTTGTACATAGCCTTCAAATATAATTTTTCTAGAATGAATTTATTTAATTTTTAGTCATATTTTTTTATATTTTATGTTTTTTATATTTAAAAAATCATAGGTCACTTTTTTTTACTTGAATATATTGTAAATCCATTATAACTAGTGTTCATAGTATTTTAATTTCAACTTATAAACAATTTTTATTGTTTTAATTAAGTAGAAATTTATACTTTAATAATGATAAGTAAATAATATATCGTAATAGCTGTCCATGATTTAGGCACTCGTTTAACAATTTTCAATAGTGTAGTTTAGATAATTTGGTCTGTACCAATCTTATATTATGTGAAAAAATTTTGAAAAGACTTATTTATAGATCAAGTAACAAGCAAGATAAAGTTTGAATTGAACAAAATTATTTTGATCACAACTTTGATAAAGAAAATAATTTTTTCAATTGAAAACGTGAATTCAGGGTACTTACTGAATAATTTTTGATATATGTATTTCAGAATTTTTTTCAGAAAGTAAGATAAGAAAAAGTTGATAATAAATTTTAGTTTGGCATGGTTAGCAACAACTTTGATAAAAAAAAAATTATTTTTTACAATTTGCAAATTTTTTCACTAGGTATTTTTTTGCTGCTATAACCCGAAATATAGTCCATTGCAATTTTAACTAATATTAGACATCTTAATAAATCGTAAATAATTTATTTATTTTTCAAAAGAAACAGCCAATGACTTATCTACAATGGGGGCAGAGGGTAAATTTCTCCCGTTTGAAATTTTAACAATTTTTTAATCCCACCCACATTTGATTTAAATCTAGTTACCCATTTATCTTATTTTTATTAAATCGTTGGCTACCCATCCCACGAATTCTCATTTCTCTCCAATATATCAGCATAATTATTATCTTAAATCAACAAAGCCTATTGTACCATTTTCCATTTGTGCCGAACTATCAGTCTCTATCTTCAAATGCCCACTGATTATTTCTCCTACTCGACCTCCGTCATCTTTAACCGAATGGTCATGCCGTCGGTCCGCTAAAAAATTATCGGTTCGCCCTAAAAGATACCTCGTCGAGTTTAGTCGAGCTACTCTTTCCTTCTTTCACCCCAAAAAAAAGACTGGAACTGAGCCAATTTTCGCAGTAGATATATCAAAATTAGAACTTTATCAAGGGCTCCCTACTGGTTGCACCAATACAAATGGGGATATTCAGCCTAGGTTTAAAAATTTTTTTACCTCTACCTTTAAGCCACTTTATTTTAATCACAATCAACACTCAAACAATTTACTTTTGGATGTAAATTCTTCATAGGAATAAATTTTATTTTTTGTACAAATATAATATAAAATTACAGTACATTTTCAATATATATATTTTAAAAAATAACATTAGGCATGGTTTTACCCTATTTTGCGATGTTAGTTCTGAAATAAATCATCAACCTAATAGTTGCGCTAATTCTTTCACCAAAATTAGTTCTAATAATCAAGAACCAAATTATACCACCTGTTATTCCGTCACGTGCAATACTAGGGAAGAATTTGATATATGGATACACGCATTGTTTAAAACTAAATATTATCCGTGAAATGCCCATTAGTTATACACACTATCGCTTTAAAATTGGAATGCACTATTTATTTTTTTATTATTTAAGTTTTTACAATTTTGTAATTTAAAAAATTACATGAATTTATAAAATCCATTAATTTATTGTTGATTTTATAATGCGTTATTTTTTTTTAAATTATATATAGAGGAAGCTTTCGTAATAACAATTTTTATAAAATTTTTTGATATAATTGATATTTTATCTATGAAGTTACTTAAAATTTTAAACCCAATTTTTAAGCACTCCAAAACGAAAAGATAATATAATAATTATTCATATTTTAATACAAGGGTAATCAAACCTAAATTTAAGATGTACTTTATATTAAATAGTCTCATTAAAAAGTGTCACGCTTTTAGTGATTCTAAAATGGTGTTATTTTTTTAAAATATATATATTTATTTAATTAATGTATATTATGAAGTATTTATTCTTATAATTTTATTTTTTATATTTTAAACTTTTTTTAATTGCTATGAAGGCAACCCATTTTAATATGCTGTTAATAAGAAGTCATGCATAATATTGTGGCTTACTTTTAGGTAAAAACTGAATTATTATATTTACCAATTTCTCCATATTTGTTAAACTGGGAAAAAATATATTTTTTATATAATTTGTTGTATTTAGAATGTTTTACCTATATTATATTTATTATATCATGTATTCCAATTATTTATATTGTTGATTATTTATTTTTAAAGTTCTCTTTTTTAATTTAAAAACAATAAATTAGAATTTTTTTTAAGAATAGTAATAAATTTTTAAATTATCTAATAAAATTAAAATTTGATTAATATGGTAAAGAAAATTTTTATGTATTATGTTATAAAAAATATCAAATATTCATGCTTTACATTTTGTAAGCTGAACTTTTTAATATACCTTAAGAATATAAAATAAATTATAGGAAAATTTTATATTACTAACTAAATGATGAATTGGGCAATAGATCAAAAATAAGTTTTTCTCCTTTATAATATCCTGAGCTTAATATATTTATTGAATCATTTATTTCATACAGATATGAAAAATAGGTTCGCAAAATTTAGAATTGTCTCATCCTGACTATTTTATGAATTGGCATATTTAAATTTTTTCTGAATTTTTACCAATAGATTATATAAGTAAATGTTTAAAGTAGTTGAAGCTTAGGGGCTCGGACAAGAATATCTTATACTTTCACAATAATTCATTCGTGATAATGCTTCTACCAGAAACATGTTTGATAGAATAGATGTTACACGCTTAGTAATACAATTTATTGCTATATAATTCTTAATAAAAAACAATATTACATTAAAAATTGGAATTTATTATATAACGGTATTTTTTATAACATAAATTGTTTAAAAAAATTAAAAATATATAAAGGACCAATAGAAACTCGATATAAATCATAATATAAAATCAAGGACATTCTAAAAAAAGTCTTAGTTTTGCGATATTTAAAAAAATATTGTATTTTTAAACCTAATATTATGCGAAATAAAATGAGAGATTATTAAAATGTAAGGTTAAAAGTAAAAGAGTCCGTTAATAATAGGACAAATTACGATATTTGTGACATGAATTTGCAATCAATAAAATATTCAAGTGCTTTTAAAGTCAAAACGAATAAATTAAATATAAATAAGTTGTAATACTATAGTTTTCATACTTGCTCTTCGAGGAAAGGGTATGAGAATTAATAAAAAAATATATATAAATTAATTTATCGATTTATTTGATAAAACAATATATAACAGCTTGTAAAATATTGGTTTATAACATATATATATAACAAATTTACTTGAATTTAAAATGTAATTCCGGGATAAAATATAAACTAGAGATCTGCGTTTGGGCCGGGCCTCTATTTCTATTTAAAATCGGGTTCGGGCCGGGCCTAATATTTTTAAAAAAATTTCGGGCCGGGTAGGGTCGGACTTTGGAAATTATATTAAATTTATCAATTTTATATTGAATTTTATGTAAAATAAAAATTTTTGATTTAATTTATTGAAACTACATATGTCTTTTATTTTAAGTAATTATAAAAATTATTCTATATTTAAATAAATTCGGGCCTGGCCAGGCCGGTAAATTTTTTTAAAATAAATTTCGGGCTGAGCCAGCAAAACTTTTTAAAAAAATTTAGGGCCAGGCTTGAAAAATTAGGCCCGATGCAGATCACTAATATAAACCTTAAAAAACATTTAAAAACTAGCTATTATGGAAAAGGATTTTTCAAAGATTATCAATAAATTTAAACAATGATTCAAATAAATTTAAAAAATAATAGTGTTTTAGATAAGAAGAAAAACTAGATTGATTTGTCGCAAGTTAAATCATGTATTTACTTCAATCACCAATTAAAATGTTATGAAAGATAAAACTTGAAAAATTTATATATAATTTTGATATTTAAATAGAGAATATAAAATATCATTTTTGGGATTACAATTGCACAATATTATTCCATAATGGAGAAAAGGGAGTCCCAAAATGTTTATTGATTATTGCTTTCTCAGAAGACTTAAGTTCAAGAAGAAAATAGCAAGGGAAGACAATTAATAATGTATGATAAAATTAATCCTTAATTTTTAAATAACTTACGACTTCGTTGTCGAAAAAATAAATATCCTAGCACCTTTAGAGAAACTTATTTTTCGAATCTTCCCCAAAATTCAATTTTCTTTTAAGGCAACTTTATAGGGCCCTTTTTGAAAAATTTCGCGTTATCAAAAAGGCTGTAATAAAAGCCTTCGTTTTTCGAGGAATTATCCGTGGTTGTCTTTCCGACGTCACCATTGCACGTCGAGCTCATGTGAGAATTTTTGTCGTGATTACAATTGTTTTTAATATTATCGTTATTGAATTTTGAACGGGGTTTACCGTTTTCCAACTTTATATAAGGTTTTTCGGGTAAGTTATAAATGGACCCTTTTTCCACCCCGATATTTGACCAGGGGTAGTTAGGATTGTTCCATCTGACCGAATTCGAGTCTTTGTTACGAGTCGAAAAACTCTCAAGGTTGAAATCGCGGGTTAGAATGAGAATTTTGTGGGCCATCAAGGAGTTGTAGTCGGAAGCCTTGTTACTCTTTTTGCGTTTCTTTTTCTTCTAATAACATGAATTCGAAATTAGTCATTGATATTTTACATAAATAAAATTTAGTAAGATCATTTTTTAAAATAAAAATATGGTGAAATTATGTTCATCTAAAATAATATTACAAATAAAATGCAATGAGTGATGTGTATGATAAAATCAAATAATGAATTAATGCCTTATAAAGTTCATGTCATCTTCAAAACGATTCATTAAATCTAAAAATTTTACTTTTTGTTCTAATTTTGGCTGAGAATATAAAGGTTGAAATGGTAAACTATTAGCATGGTTAATATCATTATCTTTGTTTCTGCTGTATTTGTATCTGAAAGAATTTTCACCAACATCACGGCTAGTATCTAAACTATCGAGGTAAATATCTTTAACAGTTGAGGAATCACCATTGGGCGAGGATGAGTTAGATTCGAGAGTATTAAATGTTGAACGAGAAAAGGGGAATCTGATCAAGGTATGAGGCTTTAGTTCCTCGCTGAAAACCGCCTTGCGAGTGTTATCAGTGAATTGTTGGTTTGATCTATATAAATTTATAAAGTTAAAATTAATTTGATAATTTATACAATCACCAAAAATAATTTTAGTTTTATAAGATTTATCTATTCTAAATATAGTAAACGTTAAAGATGAATGATTAATTAAGAGAAAATTTCATAGTCAAAAAAAATTAGGGATAAAAACCTTTTTTGATATTTGTCAGGTTGAAGTTGAGGTTTTGAAAAGGATTTGGTTGTTTGTGGTAAAACGGGTTCGGTTCAAAAAAAAAATTAAAAATTAGTTTTGAGTGTTTTTCCCGTAAAAATGTTTATTCAAAATTCAAAGAAATCAAATAAAATGTTTGCTTCAAAATTTAAACTTTTACCTTTATTCAAATTGAATTTATAGTTTGTTTTTATAATATAATATATATACATTTTAATTGCCAAAAATGATTTTTACATAAATCAATTTTTTATAATTATACCATTCTATTTACATTAAAAAATCCCAAGTATTTATAAAATAACTCAAATTAAATCCTATAGCAGAGGTTAACAATCCTGTTGAAAACAATCAAATTTAATTTTTAAAATTTCTCTCCTGTAAAATTATAAAAAGTGGAGATAAAATATTCTAATTCTTAGGGTACGAAATACAAAATATACAATGAAAATTACATATAAGTATAACAAAATAAAAATATGTCATTAGTTATATTTGTAATGCTTCTATTTTAAAAAGCTTATTCAAGAGTGAGATTAAAATATTTTCTAAAATCATTGTCCATTCTAGATCTTTATGGTGATAACATAAATGAAGAAAATTCTCTTTACAAGATGACTTTGTGGCTGGAACTGCTAAAACCACTTAAGAAAGTTTAATAATTTCAGGCTAGGTCTTCTTCATTCCTTCCAATATCAAAGTATATACCATGGTCTTGGAATATTCTACCTTGAACTAAAATATCAAATATAGGGCAAACATATATTATATTGAAATTAATTTATCTAGCCAAAGAAACAGGTTGATAAAGTTCCAATGTTTATTTCATCATTTTGTTGATCAGTAATTTCCCCAGAATTTTTACGTCCTTTCTATTTCATCATTAAGGATGGTGTCTCAATATCAACACTAATTTCATCATCAATAATATTAATAACATCCTCAATTCTGCATTCTCGTCCATAAATTTATTAAATGCCATTTTACCAAATATATCCCTTCATCTGATATTGAAATTTGGTATCTAAGTTTCAAATACAGGGCAGAAAGTAATATGTCATTTCTAAGATAGTTACGTGCATATTATGCTAGTTGCTAATACATTGGCAAAAGGAATATCGATAGTTTCAATCTCCAAAAGACATTTTACCCATGTAACATAAAAACTACTCAACATTAATTGCTCCCTCTGCAAAACCTTTGTTGCTATTTTTAGTGGTTTCAGTATATTTAATATATTATCTACTTCGCTCCATTGCTCAATTGACAAATAATAGTTTATGCGAATTGGCTAAATTCTGATAAAAATCTTTTAGCTTAATAAGCCAGATTATACCTATGACAATCCAGGAGCTAATAACAAAATTGTAACTTTTATTAAGCTTTAAAAGTGTAAGTGTTCTTAGTTTTTTTTTATTAATTAACCTGGCCTTTGATATAGCACATCGAATGCCATAAACACTCGAATGTAATTCATTCTAAAATCATCTCAAAATATGAGGTCTCTATATTGAGGGCTTTGAAAATTGTGAAATTCAGTCTAAAGAGCTAAGAAAGGTATAATAATCAGGAAATTGCCAGAGTCCATCCACATAAATCGGTAGGTATTCTAAATCTAATAATTGAATAGATTTAACCATACCATTATCAGAGGTGATGGTAAAATTTGTTCTGCAGAAATATAAGTTTTCATCACTTCTAATCTAGCTTGAAGATTTTACAAATATCTGATTGTAGAAAATGTAAGATAATAAAGAAGGAAATAAGGTGATTGATGTGAAAATTTTTTAAATCCTTTAAACGTTTTAAATAAAATAGTAATTTTTAATTTAAACAAATTTAATTAATAAAATTAAAAATACTATATATAAAACTTATTGAACCAACTGAATTCATTTTAAAATTCGGGCCCTGGGCAAATAATTTAAGAGGGTTAGGGTTCATCCAAAAGACGGGTTTAACCTGATTCAGGGTTCAATTTATGAAAAAAATATATACCACATTAATTTTTTCCTAGACAAGTAATATAAATTTATGTGATAGAAAGACTTTTCTTTAAAAAAATCCATCTTTCCAAAAGTAAGCCTCAGTGTAGTAATTAGATCACTAATAAGAATGAAAAGAATATTTTGTAAATCCAGATATAATTGATTTGGTGGAACCTATGTCCTAGCTTTCAAAATATTAAATAAAAAAACCTTATTTCTCAATTTTAAAATTGGAATATCCAGCTATGAGTGGCTTGACTAGAAGTCTGCAATGGGTGGGAATTTAACCCACTCCCTCGCTCTTTTATAAACTTTTTAACCGGTCCGTTTATTGTTATTATTTTTAACTCGCTTTCCCACGGTTTTTAAATTTACCCACCATTTTACTTTTTATAAAATTATAATTATTATTCTTAAATTTTTAGATATATTTTCTTCGTTCATTAAAAAAAACTAAGCATATTATTAAATAAAAATTTTTAAATTAAAATTAAAAGAAATTTCAAAAAAAATTTTTTTAGTAAAAATGTGAGAGTATAAAAAAATAATTTTTTAGTAAACACCGACTCGATTCGGCTTTCAAACCGCCAGAACCTTATTTAAAAAAATGCATAAACACCTGCCTATTGACGTACTAATTTTGGCCTACAATTTTTGCCAATTCAATTTCCCTACCTCCCCGCCTGGGATGTGATGCAATCACGACTATTAATTTTTAAGTTTAATCGCTACTTTTATGAGCAAAAAAATCCACCAAAATTAGCAACTTCTTAAATAAATGGATAATTTATTACTTTACATATTTCTAAAGAAAACGTATGAAAAATGAATATAATATATATATTTCTTTGTTAAAAACAATGTTTTAAATATATTACCCTAAAGTGTGGTTCTTATTAATCTCGACGGATAATTGATATTGACGTAAAAGTGTGGTAGCCCGACGCGGTAAAATATAAAAAATAACGATGGATAGAAGGGATAATTCGAGTATTAGGAAAATTAAATGGAGGATGATCAGGGAAGAGTGATTTTGGTTTAATGAGGTTGCTTGAGCAGTGTGATAGAGTTCAAGGTTCTTGCGATCAAATTTGGGGAAGAATATAATATACATAAAAAGGATAAATCGGTCAAAAAACATAAGCCAGGAGATAAATAATGTCTTAATCTTCTTGACATGCTAAACAAAAAGGGTAAAGCCTTTATTTATAACTCAATGCTATGTTTCGGCAAGAATAAAGGTAACGACAGGAATTTTTTAAGAGCTTTTGAAGTGCTCATATGATGGCGTAGTGTTCTTTCGAAAAAAAAATTTTTTAATAAAATTCCTACTTGTACTGTTTCATTTAGACGTCGGGCCAAATCCCGCGCCCGTTCTTCCGTAGTAGTATGACGCCTTTTGGCGAGGATAGCAGTAGCATCTATGACACGAGCGATTTTATCGAAGGCGACTCCAGTTTGCTCGATATGGCGGGCGTAGCTGCGAGACAGTTCCTCTAAGTAACGACCCGCGAGGGAGACATTGCTCTCTAAGGCGCGTATGCGATTATTTAAACGCATGAATATGGACTCCTTATGGCTCAGGGCGGAGATGGCGGTTTTCTTAAGTCCAGTCTCTGGTTTGATAGAATTTGCCGTGAACGATTCCACGCTTTTAACTGTCGTGTTTTCACTGTAAGTATCGGTGAAATTCAGTTTTACTTTGATATTTGATTCCTCAATATCTGTTCCAGTTACATCTGCTACAATTTGGGCTGGCTTAACCTTAGTTGAGAAGTCTTTTGATGAGGAGGAAAAAATCAGAGGTAGGCAGGAAAGGCAATCTTGTGATCGGTTAGGGTATATCATCATCCAAAGACGGGCGTAAAAACAGGATGCGGAGTGGGGCAACCCAGCGAGGGTATAAATGGGTGTAAAGGAGGTGATAAACCCTATAGATGAACAACACTCACAAAACTGGCTAAACCATAGTAAGTTCGCATGATGGAAAGAATTTATATGAAGAGGATCGAAATCAGGGAAGATGCCAGTCACATTATAATTGAGTACGGGAGGATTTAGGAAAGATGAGTAGTCTCTATCGTGAATGCGAAGCGAGTCTATATTAATTTAAAAATTGTAAATGAGGATGGGAGAAGTAAAAAAAGAAAGAAATAAAATGGATGATTTATTAGCAAAAAAAATATGTTATAAATATTTATCTAATTTTAAAAACTTAACTACTGAAACGAGGATATTATCTATTTATTCTGTTAAAAATAAGATAAATCGTTCTCTTATAAAATTGATACTAAGTGGCTATAGATAAGAAATAAAGCTAAGATAGTTAATTATGGCCTCTTTAATTTTAATGCAATTGGCAAATTTAGCTATCAATTTTATTAAATAAGTTTAAAAAAAGAATAAAGGTAGTAAATTGGGGTTAAAAAATGAAATTATCTAGAGCACTGCACTGTTGTAACTTATAATGTTTTTTAAGTGGCAGGTGCTTGCTATAATTCAAACTTTTGTGGGCAAAATTAAAAATGTTATGTGAATATTTTTTTCCCTAAATTAAAGTTTAATAATATTTAGCACAGTAAACTTACAAATGTTACTTTTATTTCAAACATATTTGTTTAATACATACATTCTAGGAGTTACAATGAATGCAGTACCCATACAATTCTATTTAAGTTTTCTTGCATAAATAATGCAAGATTCTCCTTATTTACGAATATCAAATATAGAGTTTAACCTTGTAAGTATGATAAATCGTCGGTTGTGTCATTAAGTGTGATATCATGGCTGCCAGAATTAAGCAAATCGAGGGAGGTATGATTGGCATGCGTTCGATGATTATGTTGGGAATTCATGATATCAGTAGGCACTAAAACATTGCTCGCGTGATTTAGTATTGTTAAAACGGCGTCTGAGGTGACAAATAAGGAAAAAATATTTAATCGATCCATATAATCACCCATGCATTTATTTAAAGTGTATGTGCCATCCATGTATTATTGGAAAAAAATTTGAATTCGAATTTTATAATATTGGTTAAGATGGACATTGGGTTTCTTCCTGTGTTTTATTTGTTCAATCATTTATTTATTAACTAAAAGGTAGATCTTATATACATTCAATTCAACAATCATTTATCATAACCTATTTTCTTAAAAATGGCTTATGCAATTATTCGCTATGAACGACCTTCTAAAATTGTAATGTAACATAATATAGTAGTTCGTTCACAATGTGATTAATAATTTTCAAGTGAAATTTCATTTAAAAAATTATAAGTTATTGAAAAATTCAAATAATTAAATATCAATCGTAAAATGGCAAAAAAAATCATTTTGCAATTGAAGCATTGCCATGGTAAAATCTGTCATAAATCATAATATGTAGTATACATTGTAACTAAAATAAGATTGGTGTTTATTATTATTTTACTTATATGGTTATTCTTGGTTGATAAGAGTATTTTATTACCTGCTAAAAATTGATACTTCACTATTAAAATGTGCAGATAAATAAAACAAAACGGTTACACGTAAAGAAACATTTTCATAAAAAATCATGAAAAAACGTGGTTTAAACCTTTAGCACTGAGGAGTATATTTCTAGATTGTTTATCACTTGAATTATCCGCCGTTCCTTCTCTAGAATCCCTCTGACTATTAGGAGGATTTGAATCCTTAGTTAAATCCTCTAACTTTCTATCTCCCATGCTATTTACCTGTGACTCTTTTAAACTCATATTTTTAGACTCTTTGGTGTATATAAAATTTTTCTCGATATTATTCAATGAATGCATTCCTTTGCAATTTTCTGTTAAATTGCCCATTTTTTGGAGGTTAGTGACGTTGGATAGATTGTTATTGATATAACTATTATTAATTTCGTTAAAATTATTATCCGAATGTTCCAGGGTTACGTAATTAGCAATAATGTAACGGTCTGATGAAGCTGTTGTTATGATGTTATCGTTCAAGGGAGCTGTGGTGGTATCGTGAACATCTCCACGAAAGGCGGCACGGGCTTCACTAATAACGTCATCACGGTAGTTGGAGTCTACATCTTTTTTTTTCAAATATATATTAAAATTAAATATTGTGAATCCAAAGAAGTTTGACCCTGAGGGAACCCATTTCTCAAATTATAAAGGCATTCAAAAAGGATAAGATCTAATGTTGATAAAATTAGAGTTAGGCAGTATAGCAAATACTTTGTATATTAAATACAAGATAAAATATACTTTTGTATCTTGTATCTTTTATCTGTATCTTAATTACTTTTTTAAAAGTGTTAAATATTTAATATGCAATAGATACAGATACTTTAATATTTATCTTTTGGTATATTTAAATGTTTATTAATTTAAGTTAAATATTTAATTTAAATCCAAGTTACACTAATAAACCTTTTTTATAAATTTACCACCGATAATTAATAACATTTAATGATATCTTCTTAAAATAATAATCTTTACACATTTTTTAAAGGTAATATATTATTGATATAATAATAATATAACAAACATATATCTCAATAAATGTTCAGTTTTCTACTGCAGTACAAAACCAATAATAACTTAAAGGAAAATTCATGTGCTCTAAGCTGCAGGGATTGTTATTATGGGGATTTGGTCCCAATTTTATTAAATACACATGAAACTTCAAAACGTTACGTTTTTGCCTACCATTTATTAAAGCCACCGAAGTTGGGTAAAATAAAAGTGGATCTATTAATAATTTTAATTATGAATATAAAATAACTTTATAGCAGGGATGTGAACTTTTCGGCAAAAAAAAGGGTCCAGGTCCGGGTACAGAAATAAAATTTGAAAGGACCCGGGTCCAGGGTTCGGGTTCAAGGAACATAAAAATAATGACTCAAAATAAGATTCTTTATTTATTCATTTATTATTATACTTCATATATACATATTCATAATTTTCAAATGAAAAATTTAAAAATGAAATAATTTATATTTTTAAATGTTTTATTCTCGTACAATCATAATATCTTCTAAAATATCATCCTTGAGATTTCCAAGGAAAGTAGACAATATATATTTCAAAGATAAAAATTCACGTTCTATCCTTACCTAAAATAGAAAGTTTTCTTTATAAAATTATTGTACTTGTGTCGCCGGTACAGCCATGAAAATTCTAGATAAGATATATAATTCTGAATATATTGAAGAATTTTCTTCCCAGAATTTTAAAATATTTATATCCTTATTTATTCTCTTAACTTCTGAGAACTTTACTATTAAAGATGCAATAGGCATTTTTTTGATCCTCCTTTCTATCTGATGATAATATGATTTTTTTTCTTTATCTAAAAGTAAAATTTCTAGATCATCAATGTTGCTATCATTATTATTATCACTACAACCAATAGGTATTGTCGTAGCCTCCAATATATTGTAAATAATGGAGTTTTGATTATGCCATAAATCCTTAAGATGGTCTTTAGCCATTTGTCTTTGCTCAATACTCAATAAAACTTGATATCGAGGGTCTAAATATATAGAAGGGTATACAACACTCTTTTGCAAATATTTTTGCTCTCGAATTTTCATGTTTTCTAATATTTCGTATAAAAAGGACTGTAAATTTTTCTAAATCTAATCGGCATCTAATCCATATGCCTTAAAATCATAAACATAATTATTCGGATTGTAATCTTAATATTGTTATTTTTAAAGGAACTAATACACTAGTAATGTCCTTTTGGCACCAATCATCTTCCGACTCCTATAATAAATCATTACAGAAATCTTTCAAATTTAATAATCGTTCTAGCTTCATACAAAATAAAATATTATTACACTGGAAAATAATTTATGTTATCAATATCTAAATAAAATGGAAGTCAAATTGAAAGAAAAACGCGATGATAAAATAAATGATTCAACAAAAAAAGTTAATAAAATTTAAATTTTTAAAAAAAATATTTTTATTTTTTAAATTTTTTATGACACCTAAAACCCTTAGACCCTCCACTTTTAAAAGGGGTCCGGGTTCAAGCAAAATACGAGGATTCATGGTCCGCACATCTCTGCTTTATAGCTAATTTCAAAAACCTTATTTCAAAATTATAAGGATTGATAATGATGATAAAAAAATATTTGCAAAATCTGTTGCTTAATGAAGCACAGCATATGCTATTTTTATGGACAAAGTTAATGCATTTGACCAATCAGGTGATTATTTTTGGTTTAATAATATACCTTCTAAAAATAATGAGGCTATAGAAAATGAATTGGAAATGTTATATTATATAGAAGACGATTGTATGTAGAACAGCAACTTACATAAATATAAGCACATCAAAATAATTTTTAAGTATAATATTAGCTGCCTACTTCAACCCAGTTGAACAGTTATTTTGCTGTGCAAACCATGTCAATAGACCAAATAGGATGTGTTGCCTTATAGGATAAAAATCTCGCCTATGCCTAATTAAGCTTAGTTTAAGAATTGTTAAAATGAATTAGTTAAAAATTAGGCAGAGTCTAAAGAGCTCTACTACTGGTCCGAGAGTTACTTAAGAAATATTATTTATTCATATTTACTAAAATTTATATATAATTATTTTATTTATATTTATTAAAATTATTTAAATACGATTATTTTATTTATATTAATTAAAATTATTTAAATACAATTTTATTTATATTTATCAAAATTATTTAAATACAATTATTTTATTTATATTTGTTACGTAATGCTGACGAGAGATTAGCCGAGCTCCTTAGCTGATGCCTAATTTATGAGATATTTTTACCAAAAATTCGGCTAAGCCATTTGGAGTGAGCTAAAATTAGAAGCTTGCGCAACACTATAAATAGGCATTTGTCATGAATTATTTGAGAAATTAATTATATTTAAATATAATGATAATTTAGAAAAATTTTAATGTATTTTAACTACTTTTTTATATGAACTATTTTGCTATTTGGGTGATATGCTAAACGTAGATAGGGGTGTAGATTCTGTTATTGTTGCAAGGGTTAGACAAGTATGGAAGATGTTCAGAGTGATGTCGTCTATTCTAACAAGTATGTCTTTCTGAAGTTAAAGTGAAAAGTTTATGTAAACTGTGTGAGGAGTTTTTAGGTTTATGGCGGTGAAATAAAGTGGCTCAAGAAGCTAAATGGGAAAAAATGGAGATGAGGATGTTTACATGGATGTGTGGATTATCTCTGAGATAGAGAGAAACTAACAAGGAATTAGCAAGGATGTAAATAGAAGTGATTAGACTGGCAATAAGAAGAAATATAATAAGACGGTTTGTACATATGGAACGTAAGACAAAAGAAAACTGGGTAAAGAAATGCAACTTGATAAAAAAAGGAGGATCGACCTCGAGGAAGACCCGAGATGACGTGAATAAAGGTGATAGCGGCAGATATGAGAAAAATAGATCTCTCAGATATTGATGCTCAGGACCGTCAAAATTGGAGAAGGAAAATCGTAGGGAAAACTGGCTTACCTGAATAACGGGAAATTGCCATTAAACGGAGATAAGATTGTCCTATACTTTTATAAAATTAATATCATATATAATCTTAATTGTAATATACTATATTATACATACTATATGAAAATATGTTAAGTGGAATATATATAAATAAAGTGTTTCGTTTATCATTATGCCTTAATTTTTTAACAGAAGGTCCAAAAATATAAGGTTTCACATCATGACAATTTTTTTAAGTATCTGCATATATATACCTTTTTCAATTAATTATCTGTATCTTTATCTTAAATACAAATATTTTAAGAGGGCGACCTTATGTATAAAGGATCCGGATCTGTTACGGTTCAATTGCAATGATAAAGGTTCCGGTTGGGTAAAGGTTTAAAAAAAATTATAAAGTTTTCCAGGTTTTATAATATTTATCTGTATTATAAATTGCAATATTATTAGATTTACATTTATGAATAAAATAAATATTAAATTAGAGAGAAAAAAAATATTTATAAAATTAATAAAACTCCTCAGGAAAGGTAAAGTGTAAATTATCAAATATTATGGCATAAGTTATAATTTATATATAAAACAAGGGTTCAACCTGGTTCAAAAAATATATAAGATTCGGATTTGCTCCTTTTAGCGATTTGACATAATGATTCGGTTACGGTTCAGAAAATTATACGGTTAGTTCAAATCTGAATATTCTGTTTGGTCCGTCCGGGTCTCTGGATACTTTATTTAAAGTATTTGTCCATCCCTGGATAAAATCATTAATGTTAATTGAAAGTAAAAAATTGGAGAGTTTTTGAACATGGCTCAACGTTTTAACAATATTGATTAGTTGTAATGATTCTCAAATCATAATTGCAATATTATTTGGGGTAGATAATATAATAATATACATGTGTAGTAAAGCTTAAAAAAATGGAAATGGTTCTTAAATCAATGAATCCAATATACCGTCAAATAAAAAAATTTTTTTTATCTTTAACATAATAAAAGAGGGGGTTTAAAGAAAAACTTTTTTTTATCTTTAACAGATATATATTGTTGATCTATACTTACAAAAATACGAAACGAATATTTGCACTATTAGTATTCGATTCTTTTTTTGGAATCGAATAATTCCTTATTTGTATTCGTACGAATAATAAAAACATTATTCGACTTAATTCGTGGAATATTTGATTCAAAAATTAAATTCTTTAAAAATATTTTCAAAAATGAAAAAATCTTAAATTTTTTATGAATCTTTAAATAATTATTTTTACAAAATTTGTGATTTCATCTTGAAAGATTTATTGTTTATGAAAATTATAATTAGGTTATAAAAGATATTTTATTAACATATTTAGAATTTTAGGTAAAATTTGAACAAAAATATTTCTTCTTTAAAAATAAAGATTTCTGCCTAAAAGATTTTTTTTCAAACTCTGAGTGATTTATATAGAAATAAAGTTTAAAAAAATAAAATATTCGTTAACTTGCAAATTTTAAACATTTGTGAATAAGTTACAATATTTAAGAATAATGTCGAATATATAGGATAAATTTACATATATGAAAAAATCATACGAATTATTCGATCGAATAAGGAATAAAAAGAATAATTTTGTTATTCGTATTCGTAAAATACGAATCGAATTAAATAAAATCTAACAAAAAATTTGTTTTAGGTATATTTTGAACAATTTTTAAAAGAGTTTAAACTTTCATCATCTTCATCTTCAGGGACGAATTCCTCAGCCAGGTTGGTCCCGTAAACTCGAATTAGCGTTAGGGGGCAGTAATGTTCAGAACCGTGGTGACTCAACAACTCGATCTAAAAAATCAAAAATTTATTTTCTTTTATTGCTCGTGAGGGCAAGAAGACCTTGAGATATTTATACAAATTTATTTTATAAATCAAATAAAAAGAGCTGATTTTATATATTTGAAACCCCTTTTTATATATAAAAACATTAAATACATTTTAAGTTATATAGACTTTTAAAATCAAAAGAAGGTCATTGTATAAAACTGTTTTTCCCAAATAAGTAATAAGTTAATTTATACGGTTGATGACTACGTTTTTAAAAATGATGAACTATAAAAGAACGATAAGATAATACTTTAATGTATCGAGCGAACAAATTGGCATCCACGCGAAAAGATTGCATTTTCCTCTCATCGGAAGCAACGAAAGTTTTATTCATGAGCCATTCCTTGGTAGGATATCTGGTTTGTTTTGATAGTTAAATACGCAGCGATAATTATCTATATGACAATTAATTAACAATTTAAAACATAAGATTATCAATCTAGGCATTAACACCCAATAAAGTAACTATTAATACATGGTGATAATTGTATATTTTGTTCAAATAATTTCAGAGGAATGTCATTTAGACATCACAGCGAACTAGATTGGAATTATTTCATATTTAAAAAAACAATAAAGGGGTTTTAATGCGACGTCATTGCCGACTTGGTTTGGGGCGAACAATATAGTTCGGTCTTATATATCAGAGCTCGATATAATTTTCCATTTTAAATTGATTGATAATTGAATGTAAAGAAGAATGAAATATTGGTAGTCTGTATTGCGAGGAATTGCTTGTAGAATGGATATTAGTAGTAAGAATAGGTCAATTTAAATATAAGAATTTAATTAATCAAGTGAAAAAAGTTTCTTTATTATATAAAAAAAACTAAATTCAAAAAATGTGAAATTAACTGATACAAATGTAATAGAACATATTTTTAAGGTTTTTTCCCCCGTCAAATTTAGATAAATGGATTGCCGAGAAATTCATGCAAATGTTAGTCAAAATTTCGTTCATAAATGAAAATATAATCTTTGCGATTGCGCCAATTTTTTAAAATTTGTTTTGTGATGGGGATTAGATCTCGAGTAAATCTAGTCTATTCAATCAATTTTAAAGATGTCATACTATAGGTTTTTATTCTCTGTAATGAAGAAAAGGTCCTCTCATTTGTGCTTGTATTAATTGGTATCATTGCTAAAATATTCAGAAATTTTAATATATATGGAAACTTATAAAACATACTTTAAAGTATGCAATGCTGTATTTCTTGGAGGATTATCTAAAAAAATTAGTCTTTTATGCCAAATAAATTCTGAAATCAATTGGCCTTCAGATGCATTTATATCCTCTGAATAAAATTTAGAGAATTATTTAATTCTTTTAATATCAATATTTAATATATCCTCAATCAGATTAGAGGGAGTTGTGAGATAGAGTATTTGTAAATTGGATAGAGCCATTTGATAAATCACAAATAGTTCATTGATTTAAGTCAAAATCAAATCCAAAAGTGGAATAAAAACAGTTATCAATATACATAATCAAAACATGATCATTTTCGTATCATCTTAAAGTATTAAAATTCAAGGAGACTATATAGGATGTTAATTTTTTAGCCATCTACCAGTATCAAACCCTAGATCCCCCGTTTCAGAGACACACAACTTGCGCTTGCACTAGCAATTATAATTATATTATTAGTCCAACTCAATTAAATTTTGCCATTATAATTTTAAATATATTAATGAAAAGGGGGCTTCAATTTATAATATATTCTTTAGTTACATTTGGCTGAAATAATAATTAAATTTTTTATTCTATTACATCCAAACCTTCTATTGTGACCCAAGTTTAAGAATTTCATAAGTCACAATATATTGTGAGGTAAGAAATTTACTATATGTATTTATAGATATATAATTAAAAAATTCTTAATTTTATCTGACTATTTAGATTTTTAATATAGGTAAATTTTTACCATAATTTTTTGTGACATTTAATGATTAACTATATATTATCTTTTACGTAAGAAATATATCCTTATCCCACCAAGAAAGGATCAAATTGAATAATATAAAACCTCTATTTGCAACTATAATGGTATCTAAAGAAAATAGTTTAATTATTCATTTGCCTCCAACTATTCTCATTTCAAAATAGCTTTTTATTTAATTATAATTTATTGATAAATCCATAAATTAAGTATTATATAAAAAAAATAGTTGTTCAGGAATATAATGATGGCAATGGTTATATAAAATAGGATAATATATTTTTCCCTTTTTTAAAATGTTGGCCCAACATTATTTCATACTTTCCATAAAAATGTAACATTTTCCATAATTTATATTATGATAGGTCTATAATTATATTATAAATTATTATAACAAAATTTTATCCATATATATTTTAAAAATGTCATTTTACCCTAACCCCCCCCAAATGACATCCCCACCCCCCTTTAAGATTTTTGAATGCAAACTATTCCTATGCCCCCACCCCAGCTCCTGTAGACGATGTGGTTCCAGTAGAATTGGTATCAGATATTGGGCCAGCTTTTATGTCTTATGAATTAAAAAATTTTTACAAAGTAAGGTTATTATACATATTTTTACTCCTGCTTATCACCTCTACTCTAATGGGATGGCAAGCAAAGAGGGCTGTTCGTAGGAATATGATTTATAAAATTAGGGAGTTGCGATGAGCTCATGTTAGCAGATGTTTTATTAAATTATCGCAATGCTACTCATTCGGTAACAAATTTTCCACTTACAACTAGATTGTTAGGTAGAAATGGGATGAAATGGAGTTTTTTAGATAATAATGACTGTGATGTCTGATTATAAAAGTATTAATAGTAGAGAATTAATTATGGTAACTGTTTTTGAGAAAGTGGGTACAAATCAATATTAGAAAAATGTAATGTGGGAAATCAAGATATATCGCAAAGTTGTTATCAGGGACCCGGAGTGAACCATAGCGAACTGTTAAACCATTATAAATATCTGAACCATAACCGTAACCGAACCGATATAATTATTTTTTGAAGGAGTAAAAAGAACCTTTATAAAAACGGTTAAACCGGTTCAGTTTTTATATTTTAGAAATGGAAATAATTTGAATATCCAGAATTATATAAACTTGCTCTTATAGTACTGGCGATTCCCGCAACACAAGTTTCTGTAGAAAAGGCTTTTTCGGGGCTAAAATTTGTGTTATCGTCACAACGAACAAAAAGGAATCCATTTATATTAGAAAATATATTACTTAAATGTTCAAATAATATATTTAAAAATGAGTTATTTTGAATCTTATATATTTTTTTATATATAATTCATAGATGCTTATAATAAAAATAAATTAGAAGATTGTGTTGCTTCAATAAAAAAAAATTGTTGTGTAATAAAATTTATTAATACACACTCCAGTGAGAAAAATCGGCACTTATACTACGATTAATGTATCAGCTTCAAATGAAATATGTGTTTCAGGTCCCGATTCTCCAAGAGCATACAAAATAGTCTCTTCTAGATCCAAGAAATACTGTAAGAACTTGATGTAGAAGGCTCCATATTTTCGTGCAGGTTTTTTCAGTTTCTTTTTTCCTGTAGCACAAGAAGTCTCAGTAATAATTATATTAAAACCAGGTTAAGGTTCCAAGTCCAGAAAAATAAGAACTTATAAAATCTTAGAATTCACCATAAAAATAATTAATCATCGTTTATATTTAGAATAATACAATACAATTTTAAAAATAATATTATATTTGTATTTAAAAAAATTAATTTACATCATTGGTGCTTTTACATAACTCTGATAATATAAAATTTAATGGAAAATGCTCATTCAGTATGCGCTATATTTAGACCCATTCAGAACTGCAATGTGTGAACTTAAAATTTCTGAACATCCATGCATTCCTGCGATGGTTCCTTTTTTATTATAATTTTTTTATCTATATGGTCCAGTCATCTTTTTTTTAGAGAATATTTTGTCCTCTTAAAAAAATGTAATTTTAATTTATATAAATCGCGTACTACTTTGAAGAAGGTTAAGGAACTAGAATGGAAAATCCGAGAATTTCATGAGAGTTCCGTGGCGTTCGGAAAAATATGTAAGTATGTTAATTTAACCTTTGAGTTGGTAAGGTGGAAAAAAATTGATCTCACTTATTATGTTTACCTCACTTTAATAATGTGTCATATATTTTTGTCAATACCACAAAAAACGGATCAAACCAGAGGCGATAGTATTTTTCCGTATAAACGTGTTGTTTTCATGATAATTTAAATGAGTAATTATTTTTGAAACAATATGGGGATGGCTAGAGAGGATACAATACAATGTATATATATGTATAAAAATAAACGACTCGTGAAAATGGATATTAACATTAAATAAAAAACATTGTTTTGGTATAAAAATACCTATGAATGTAATTTTACTCATAAGGATTATTTTCTTTTCTTATAAAAAGTTTTGCTTTTGTTGATGATATTATTTTTAATGTAACGAACTTTTTTTCGATGATATTTATACTAGTAATCTGCATCGGGCCTAATTTTCAAGTCCGGCCTGGCCTAAAATTTTTTTATAAGGTTTGCCCGGCCCAACCTGAACCCGAATTTTTTTTAAAAAAATTTTGCCAACCCGGCCCGAATTTATTTAAATATAGAAATTAATTTTTATAATTACTCAAAATAAACGATATATGTTATTTGGCGTCTACTTTCTATAAATAAAATCACATATTTTTATTTTACAAAAAAAATTCACGTAAAATTGATAAATTTAGATATATTTTAAAAAATTTCTAAGGCGCGACCCGACTCGGCCCAAATTTTCTTAAAAAATATTATGGCTTCGGACCGGGTTCGGGCGGGCCGGGCCTACTTTTGCAGATCTCTAATTTATACATTGAATTTTGTTGAAATAAACATATTTTACAATTATTGAAACTAACCAAAACTACATATTCCTCTGTGGTGCAAATCCGGCCGTTCCTTTCTAAACCCTCGTTTAAGCTAGGTTCAAAACTGAAAATAAAAATAACCAAAACAGGATTGCTCCGTAGGGCGGTTCCGACCGATCCTTGCTAAACTCCCATTTGAGATATGTCCAGAAGTGAAAATAAATAAAACCTATAACAAGTTCATATTTATTAATAGCAGTGCTGGCAAGTCGGTCAAATTCAGCCTGGCTGGAAGAGTATCTGACCAAGATAAGGTCAAATACGATATAAATACTTTTGATCACAATGCTCCGAATATTAAGGGAATTTATTAGACATTTTACAAGGTGGTGATCATCAATTTATCAAGTGATATGATAAATGTCAGAATTAAGGGCAGTATGTTAATAGCAAATTATGTGAAAAGCAGTAACTTCCATAAGAAACAATCAGTTTCCTACCTCAAATTAGTAGAATGTGCTTTGCTCACCATGCCTATTACGAGAAGTGGCATTTTACTAACAACTATGAGTTTTACTTCTTCAGAAAGAAATTGGTTGATTTGGGTTATAAATCTTACTGAAACAGAACTCGATTGAAGATCTCGACAACAGGAAAATTGATTAAAAAAATTTAAATAAATAATAATATTGAATATAAATCAGAACAAGACTTTGCCATGGAGAGCAAAATAAAGTTAATTTTGTTTATAAACATTTATTTGAATTTGACAGGTCGAATATTAGTCAATTGGCAGAATCGTATTTGACAGGTCATATACACAACCTTTATTAATAGTAGTGCTCATTTATACATAATCGGGAGATTACAAACGTATAAATACAGTTCATACATAATACATAGATCACATGGTTCTTTCTGAAATAATCTCCTGGATGGTGATCGTCAATCCATATACAATATTACAGAACCAAAACCATGGATTACTCCTTGGTGCGACTTTGGCTGTTACTTGCTAATATGTGATGTCTAAAAGTGAAAATAAATATAACAAAAACAATGTGCCAAGTGGTGAGGCTCCGGCAGTTCCTTGATAAGCCTCCGTTAATGTCTAAAAGTGAAAATAAATATAACCAAAACCACAGATTGCTCTGTGGGGTGATTCCGACTATTCCTTACTACTTTGCACCTTTGTTTTGGTATTTTAAATCCTAGACAAATGGTCAAAGGACTATCTAAACCGCCTTCCCAAGTCTCCGCCCACAAAAATCCCGAGTATCAATCTTTATTGAACCGCCCCCCAACCCCTCGTTCCTGGTGCTTGTGTGAATTGGCCCTGAATATCTTTCCCTGTATCATATTTTTATAAAATAATATCTATTTAAAACATACAATTAATCAAACTTTTTTATTTAAACTATAAAACTTATAGTCAAATAATAATGTATCTCTAAATTTTCTTTAGAATTAAAATGTGGGTTAAAAAAAACACCAGATCAAAATATCAACAGGTTTTTTGTAGTAACAATTATCTCCAGAGTGTTGCTATGCCAAAACATATCAATCAATGGATAATTTAATAGACAATTGTAAATATAATATTTATAATGGCATATATATATAAGTGTTGACTTTTTTATTCCAGTATCCAGTATGCTTCACATAAACAAATTAAATTAAATTATTTATCAATTTTTTTATCAAGCTAGTGTTGAAAGGTATTTTAATTTTTTGATACTCAAATTTATAACAACATCACAAAACACAACTATAAACGGTAATAAAATATATTAAAGCTTATATTATATGCAATCATTGACTTATAATTAAAAATATGATTAATGAACAAAATATGTTTTATAATAGAAATACAATTAATGTTTTTAACGTTACAAAAACTAGAACAAAATAGGAACTGACAATTTTAAGGCTGGAACTTGAACGAAACATAAAAATGCATTTGTTTCTGGTGCAAGATAATAAAGTATAATTATTACCAAAAAAAATATTTTTAATCATATGATAAGATTTACCTTTTCTCATTCGTCCATATTTATTCTGTGTAAGATAAATTCCATTATTTGTCAAGAACAAAATTAAATGTATCATAATCATAGAGTAACGAAGAATAAAAGATATTGCTATATTATAAATGCATAATATGTGTGAGGTGTTAACCTGTCGCTGATGTGAACCCTGAATTCTTTGGGGGAAGAGGAGAAGAGTTCTAAATTCGCGATTTCGATTTTTTTGATTTGAACAGGCTCGCAGAGCTCGAAGGTAAACCTTGTTTATCAAAGTAAAAAATATTGAAAAAGAATCAAAAATAACCTAAAAATTTTATACAGTAAACATAGTAAAATATTATTTTTATAATAGATATGGTTTTTAGAAAGATACTCATTTCTCTCTTCTTTTTATAAACTACAGGTATAAAAAGAATTTGCTTGTGTTTTAAAAGTTTTTCATAAAATATGATTGGAAAAAAATTATCTTTTAAATTTCAAATTTTTTATCAAAAAATATCTAATTCATAAGTCATTAGTAAAATTTAAACACAAACCAAATGTTTAAATTGAACTCATTTATTTTTTTAAATCAAAAATTATTAAACTTTTTTTAAGTTAAGTTTTAAATATAATTAAAGTTAGATGAGCTTTAATTAATATAGGCATATTTAATTCAGAATAAATAACGTAGCCGACTCCTTTATAATACTAATATATGATTTTTTTTGAACCCATAAAAATAATTAATAATTTAATCATTTATTTCAGATTTTTAAAACTCTTTCTACCAGGAAATATAAATATTGTATATTAATGTATGTTTAAAATATGTAAATAACATAAGGCCGCCGTTTAAATTGTAGTTATTATCTTATTTATCCCAATTAATTTTATATGAATTTTACCAGACACGAGCCGAGCAGGGGTTGAGCATGTAATCGTCGAGGTTACCCTGCAGGACGCCACCTGGATTAATTGCCTCCGAGTTTCGGTGTAGTATCTTGGCTCCACAAGCGGCAGATGCGTAATTCTTGTCATCATCAACCCCACCTCCTTCCACTTCCTTTTCGATTAGGCTTCCAGCTGAGCTCACATTGTCGCTGCGCAAATTAGTCTGAGGCGAGATATGAGTGTGTAAATTATTTGGAATGGGATTTAATATATCAACGGAAGCGGTTTGATGGGCGTCAATGGAGGGATCGTAAGGAGGAAGTGGGGTGAGAGGGGACGAGAACAGTGGGTCGTTGATGTTGTAGAGATTTACCTTGTCATTCAAAAGTTGATATCCTTCTTCATTATTGACTTTGTTATTAATTTCAGAATTGGAATCATCGGTATGTAAATTTTTACCGTTTTCCTCGATTCTATTATTGTTGTTGCTATTAACGCCCTTAGCCATGCCGTTGTTTCGACTTATATTGTTGTCGTTGTTACGTTTTTTCTCGCGTTGTACCCGAAAGAGACGTTGCTTCCATTCGTCAAAAGGCGGAATTTCAGTAACTGGCAATCGATAAAAACGTAGATCTTCAGGGTGGAGGTGACTGACGTCGTCGGTCTCCTGCGATAGGATCGTTGTACCTACTTCTAAAATGATTGGCGCATCCGAAGAAATAGAAGAAATTGGAGTGGAGACATGAATAAGCATGGGTGAAAAAGTGGAAGTAGAGGACGTGGATTCTGCCATCGTATAGGGTGGTGGGACCTAGATTTAGATGAATAAAAAATTTGTATCAAATGTTTAAAATGCATGTATAAAAAATTCCCACTATCCTTGTTAATCAAACTCTTTATATTATAACAAAGTATTTATAGAATAAATTTTTATGGAGAAGGGGTGGGTGAGAAAAAATTTTGACGGCCTCTAAACAAATAATAACTGAATTTTAAGAAGTTTAAAAAAACAGTATACAAATTTAATAAAGTTTCTTAGAATATATTAAATGGGATATGGTAAAGCAAAAGTACCAAAATCATAAAGATATTATAATAAATTTACATTTCAATTCGTGAATTTCAATTTGAATGATGGGAAATATAAGAAAAATAATGTAGTGATTGGTGTTTGGAATTTTTAATCCAAATATTAATTTAATCTAAATTAAACAAATTACAATGCTAAGAAATTGTTGAATCCAAACCAAACCCATTTTAGAATATTTTTTAGGTTCGTGACAAATAACTAAAGAGGATTTGGGTTCAAGCTTACCTCGCCAAAAAGTGCATTTTATATTTAAAGCTTTTGATAAATTACTATTAAAAAAATTACAAATTCTATACTTAAACTGATTATTATGTTATCTTCTAATATTGGTATAAGCCTTGAATAGTGATTATTTAAAAAGTTTTTGAGTAATAAATATAAGCATTGTTGAAACTAAATTTTATTAAGGTTAACGTGTGGTTCTTATATATAAAAATAATCAATATGTAGACATTTGCATAGTAAATAAATAGGTATTAAATTATACAATGCTAAATCATCAAATTTTCAATAAACCAACTTTTAATTAATGCTATATATGTATAGGTCATAGGGTTTATTAGAATTCAGGGCATAATGAAATAACTAAATATAAAAGTTCATTTATATTTATTTAACGCATTTTTTTAATTTTTAAAGACTTGATTTAGCTCTTTTATTCCAGAGTGTGTAAGTGTATTACTCTACGAATTTGATAATTTTTGTCAAATTTTGGGTTAAATTTTATTTAAAATATGGAAAAATCGATTTAAATTAAAATTGATTCAAAATTTGAGGGGCACAATTGTCTAAAATTCGTAGGGCACGTATAAATACTATATACACATGCTGAAATACAATTTTGAAGAAATCAGGCCTTTAAAGTCAGAAAATGTGCACTAATAATTTAAATTTTAAAGATTTCCATATACCTCATGACATTTTATAAATAAAATTTTAAATATCGATTTTAATATTTTAATATTTTAATCTATTAGAATTTTACCGTGGCCGCGTCAGATGAATAGTTGGCTTTATTAGTGTATAGTTCTGATAGAGTAATCAGAGGTAACTGAGCAGTATCTCCTTTGTCAGATTCCCTGTAAACAGATATCAATAATGAAAATCTATAATTATACATGGTTTTTTTTTAAAAAATTCTGAACTGTACTATAAAAACATAGAAATGACGAATCGAATTATTTTAAAAATTTCGTTAACACTTAAATCAAAATGAAAAAATAATTTGGCATACATATAACCAACCTAAAAGCCGGGCAAGTAAGCGGTTGATTTAATCCGAAATGAATTAAGTACGGGTGGGTCTGAAATCTTGAGCATTTATTACGCTGGGTTCTAAAATTGTTTCTAGGAATTTTGCTCAGAAAGTTCTCAGAACTAAATGTTTCATTTATATGAAACCCTTTCAATTTTCCATCCTCATCTAGTCCGTCGAAAGTGTTATCAAATAAGGTTTCGTAACGCGGAATAGCCAGATTTTTGTTTAATCGATAATTGGAGGTGAAAGGCAGCGTGGTATTGTTGTAAAAATAGGATTCGGCCGCAAACTTATTTGAAAATTTTTTTTTTATATATATTATGATTTGATATGAAATGTTTGTATCTTAGATTGGAATCAGAAGGTAACAAACCCATCAATTGTATTTTTTTTTGGAATAGAGAACTAAAAAAGTTTACATAATTATCACTAGTTTTTTCAAAACGGTAGTGTTGCTAAATTCCTTTACTTTGGCACTCCAGGACAATTTAGTCAAGTTTTAATCCTGAAAAAGTATTCTTAAACTTCAAGTTAAGGCTAAACTTGCTTAAGAATATTTTTTAGGCTAAAAGATTGGCTAGGCCGTATTGGAGTTGGCCAAAGTTAGGAGTTTAAACGTTACTAATTCTTGGTATTAAAATTTTTTAAAAAATCCTGATTATATAGTAATGGTTGCTGTGCAAATTTTTTAAATTTAAAATATAATGAACGCTCTATAAGGACCACTAAAAAATGACGGTTATTCTTTGGTAAATATATAGATAATTTTTTTAAAACATTATTTAATAAGATTTAGTGATAAGGAGAAGACAGACTAATGGGGAAGGTCAGGTTGAAAATAAGGTGGTCAATCAGAGGAGTGGTAAAAGCTTTAAAAGTTCATATTTTTTTAAACTCAACTATCTCTATGATTCAATTCCCCTATCTTAAATATCCGAATATTTATTTTAGAAAGCACGCCGCACAAATAATAAATTAATTTCTCATACTCAGATTTTATCTACTAATTAGCAATGAACAGCCATGATTAAATTTTAATGGGGTGAAATAACTTTTTCGTATTCAAATCAGATGGCCAGCCTGGTTCAAAATTTTGCGGAGCCCAGGTCTATGTAAAAATTAAAATTCAAGCCCGACCCATCCCGCATAAAGTAATAAGTTATTTTAAACCAGGGACAGCCCTTAGTCAACAAAAAAATCTAAGCCGTGTCCAACCCGTCCATTTTATTCTAATTCCGGTGACGCACTACGAAATAAGCGTTACGTACCGCAGAAATCATATTTTTTAGTGATTATTAAGAGAAATATTTTCCCCGTACTTTTTCAAAGTCCGAAGATTGTTTCCTTCTTGTCCAATTTGCATTATCGCATCTACAATTATTTTAACAAGTAAGAAAGAAGGCGGTTATTATATTTATTTCCCCCATATTTCCTTTTTTTACTTTAAATGAAACGTACAATAAAATGACTATAGATAAAATTGAAAAGGCATTTTTATGACTTAAATAAATAATCAAGAAATATATCTGTGGAAATGTAATGTTGTTTTTTTTTTCAAATTAGCTTAATTTGTTTTTGGAATAGTCTATGTCTTGGTTAGCAATTTAAAAAAGCAAATTTGTGCATTTCATTTTCGAAACATCTTTAAAGAATAACAGAGGAGTCCGCAAATATTCGTGCCTTTTTTATGCGCATTAATACAAAATGCATTTTTTGCTTGTGTAGACATAAAATTATATAAGTTTATTTTACTAATTTATGAATGACTTGTGTATAGTTGCCTCTATTGGTATGATCAAAATATTTAACTTTAATGGCAAGAGAAATGTACATATAGCTTAATCATTTCTGAATGATTTCCTACTATCATTTTTCGGTGATCGGTAATCAGACTAATCAGATTTTATTGAAATTCCGGCGAATAAAAAAAGCAGTTCATGGATAAAGTTCGTTTTTCCCCAGCACAATTAGTTCCAAAATAAAATTAGTGACAGATTTAGCTATTGAAAAGGTACTTTTGATGTACAAGATATCGGTATATTTAAATGGTCAAATTTAGGATTTAAATTGATGAATTGAAAATCAGCCTTCGTATCGTCGCGGTAAACCCTTCAAAAATATTCGTACGTGAAAAGCGTAAATTTACTACAAATAAGGTAGTTATCGATGTCATATTTTTTTGGTATACCAATTAACCTTTCTTGATCCGTGACGAGCTTATTTTAATTTTATCAATAAACTAAGCAGTTCAATTTTATTTTTAAATAGTCTGTCCCTATATTACTAATTATATCATTTATGATATTTAGAATTTATAATGTAATCTAATATATATAATCACCGGAATCAAGAAATGAACGTTTTCCTATAACCTTAATGTTAATTTTTATTTTTGTTATCAACTTTCCTATCATCTTAATGTTAATTTTTATTTTTGGTATGAACTTTCCTATCATCTTAATGTTAAATAAATCGAAGGAGACTATATACCTCTAATCTTAAATTATTTTTTTTTAAAAAAGAATCAACGATATTCGAACCACTGACTTAACGTTAGTTAGACAAACGTTCTTTCCAGACACCCCCCGCCTTCTATATTTAATTTTATAATATAATTTTCCTTATATATGAAACTATATTATGATAAAGTAATTTAAATATATCAATATTTATCTTTTTATTAGAAGCTCCAGGCTTGGGAAAACAATTTCAAAATTATTATCGGTTGGCCAGGTTTGAGAAAATTTTTTTTAAATTATAATGTGTCGGGCTGAGCTTGGAATATATTTATATTTTTTATTGGAAGCTGAAAAAAATTTCAAAATTATTATCGGTTGGTCATTTAAGAAAAAATTTTTTAAATTATAATGGGTCGGGCTGGGCTTGGAAATTATTTTATAAATTATATTGGGCTACGCTTGGGGAAAATTTTCAAATTATTATCAGCTTGGAGGCTTGGGAATTTTTTTATTATTAACTATGGATCAGACATTGACCTATAACAAATAAACAAGGCCCATAAAATCTAATTTTGATTGTATTTTTAATTTCATTATGATTTTTTCAAATTTTTATTCCAGTTCTCAACTACCAAAATTATTATGATCTTTGGTTGGGTTTGGAGAAATTTAAATATTATATTCCAGTTCTCAACTACCAAAATTACTATGATCTTTGGTTAGGGTTGGGGAAATTTTTTCAAAATTATTATGCCCTTGGATGAATTTTTTCAATATTAAATAATAGGCATAGATGTATTTTAACAAATAATATTGATATGGGTATCAAGTAAAAGCTTTAAATATATTTTGACTCAAAACATAGCATTTAAAATTAGTTTTAATGGATTGACCTGACCTGAAGGTGGGAAGGGGTTATAAAGAATAAAATTGGATATTATTTTCAAATAACAGGTAACAACTATCATAAGAGTAAGGAGAAAATTCTCATTCCCCGTCATTTTTGACGGACTCAGCAATGCTGACTAACGGAAGATCTGGTACTGTTAGTTATATATTTTTCATTTTGCCTTTCAAGAAAGACGGGTCATCATACTTTTCTCCCTTATTCGATGATAGATGAATCAGAAATTAATATCTTATGAGGTGTGATTCACAAATTTACCTCTTTTTCGCCTAAATTTTAATATTTTTAAAAAAATGTTAAATTAAGTATATTTAGTACCATATACACAAACTAATTACCCCTCAACCCCGTCATTCTTGACGGGTTATTAACTAGTGTGTACATAATCGTTTTAAGAATATCTCAGTATCTTGATGAGCTTGTGAATTATCTCGCTTTCTTAATTTATTTTTCCTTTAAGTTTTCGAACAAAATTGGTTCTATCTTTTTCACGCGTCGCGAAAATTATGATCTTATAAAATTGTTTCACGCCTAGGCCACATTTATAAACAAATGTTTATAGGTTATTGAAAAGGGGAAGAAGAAAAAAATCAAATTTCACGATCATAAATAGTGGCAATTTAGACTTAACATGAATAGTTGAAGTATATTTTTTGCGATTCGTTTGGCTTTAGATCTACTTAATTAACACTGTTAACATATAACTATTTTTATAAATGAATACATGCAAATTTATAATATATATATGTTTAAATCTTTTAACGTTTATATTAGTATTAATACGTTAAAAATATGAGCGGAATAAGCTATCTAATCAATGCAAATCGATAACGTTGAATTATAAATATAAATTATTCATAAAAAAATATAATTCATTTCATTTGCATTAAATTAATAATAACATTGAAAAATAAATATTTAAATTTATCTATAAAAAAATGTCAAATAAAGAAAAATGAAAGAATGTCTGTTTAAAAAATTTGGCGAGGAGGGAGTGCTAATATCACTTGTTAACAAGCTCCCCAATATGTGAGGGATGGAGTTTAGAAAAAAAATTGGTGGAACATAGCTCTCTTTAAGCAACATCTCCTGTTAAAAGTTCACTAGAAATATCAATTTCCATAATAATGTTACAATTATAACTATCTATTCCATACTAAATACAATTAATATATAGCAATTTAAAACAATGGAGTATGGGATTAATTAAAATAGAATCTGTTTAAATTGGTAAAATATTTTCGACCCACCTTATCATATTATCAAAAATAGAGGATGGGATAAGCTTAGAAAGATCATGCATCCTGGACTTAATTGCAAAAATAGATATCTAGGCATCCATAGCGTAAGCAAATGAGGCCCATATTTGTAATCTGTCAATCTTTTAATTTTTTAAATGAGAGGCAGAGCCACTTTGTTTCGCTTTGTTCTAGTTCCTTTAAAGTTAAATTTTGATGGTTATTGATGACCATCGCAAGTTCTCTTAATTAAACATGTTCAGCATTCATTGCTTTCATATTTAAAACGCTTGGTAAATTATGGAACTACTGGCACATATTCTAGATAATTTTTAAAATAATACCACTCATTTCTCGTATAATGTTGCCCTTTTAGGTCAATAATTCTATAATCTCTATGGTTGTTTATCTGAGGTTATGTTAAAATATAATACATTCAGAAGCAATTTATTTAAATACATATAGAGAAATAAGTATTCAAGTCGAAACTATTTAGAAAAAAATCAATGAAAATGGAGTCAAAATTGGACCCGCCCCCCCCCCTCTCCCTCAAACAAGATTAATCAATCCTGTCTTAGAATTCACATAGCAGGCATGGGTATAGGATAATTATGAGGGTTTTAAGAAATATTGTTAAATTAATATAAAACATATAATATTTCATTATTTAATATGAAAAAGATAAATGATAAATAAAATTATATATTTATAAACATAGGTGAAAAATATCAATATGAAACAATTACTATTTTTTATTCTTGTAAAAAAATAGACATTTTGATATGGGTGTTGCAAAACAGGTTCACGTTTCCAGTTCTAAAATTTGTGTTAGCATGCATTCAGTCATAAAATTGGCATTAACAATTTTACTTTTAAAATCTCCATTAGGATGATATTCAGTCCTATGTCCCACAAGAAATCAGGTCTAAAAAGGGTCCATCTCAATAAAAAGATTGAACCCCGAAAGAAGGGTCATTCATTCACTATTTTTTCCAATCCAAATATCAATTTAAAAATATACATTTTTTTAAAACTCTTTCCACTGCCACTAGATTGGTTTATAAAAATTAATTGTAAGTAAAATCTGTTTCATAAAGGGTTAAAAATAACAAAACTCTTTTTTAAATTTCATAAATTTAAGTTTTACAAAAAAGTTTATTTTTTTAAAAATTTAATTTAAGTTTAATCATCCTCCTAACCTAACTAAATTAATTTAATCAATAATTTATTAAATAAAAATGATTAATATTCAAAATATATTATTTCTATTAAAAAAAGTGTGTCCATTCACAATTGTATTTTTTTTCTTTATTTTAAGAATAGCTTTAAAACAAATCAAATATTGTCAAAATAAAACTTTAGCAAATAATTAATAATTATCAGATTTTAAAAGTTAAATTAAGTATTACTCAATACCAGGGTTAGCATTTACCATTCAAATTCAGTCAATTGTTTAAAGAAATATTTGAGATCAAATACAGTCAATTACTCTAAAAAATTAAAAATATGTTTGAAAAGAAAAAAAAACATATAAATATAGGTTATCACAATGCTGCTTGAGGTTCCCAATATCAAGGGTAGCATCTTACTAGTAGTGAATTTATGGTTGTATGTGATATAATACAAGAATTAGGCACTTTACAAAGTGATAATGATTAAAATTTTTCAAATGATTTCAGAAGTTAAAGTAGCATGTTAATAGCAAATTATGTGGAAAGCAGTAACTCAATAAGAAACAATCAGATTCTGGCCTCAAGTTAGTGGAATGGGCTTTGCCCATCATGCCCATTAAGAGAAGTAATATAAAGAAAATGAAAATATTGAATATGAATTAGAAGAAGACTCTGCCAAGGAGAGCAAAACATTAGTTATTGAATGATATTAAATTTAAAAATTATTATAAAATTAATATTATAGAATTGATTTTACTATTTTATATAAAATAGTTATATTGACTTAAAAGCATCAAATATTGGTCAATTGAACAAATCTATTTGACAAGTCAAATATACAACTCTGCTCAATAATATATCATGATTAAACAAAAAATAACATAAATTTGAATTTACATTAAATTGAAAATCTTAAAATATGAAGAAAAAAAAATCATTCTAAATAACAAAAAAATAAAATCAATAAAGTTACATAACAAATAATTTTATCAAAATAATATTAAATAATGGAGTGAACTGGCCTGTGCAGAATTTTTAAAAGTCTTTAGCCTGGCCAGGCTGTAAAATTCCTTACTTATTCCTGTAAAAGAATTCCATGTTGCCAGGTCTAATCCATGAAATTTTTATGGAATTGAATTATTAAGGTTAAAAAAAATTGTAAGCCAACTTAGATATTTTACACAAATTTTCCAGCCAGCCTAAAAAAGTATAATTTCCCATCATGTTTTAGTAGGGATGTCAATACAAATTATCATTATTTATTTTGATAAAAATATCATTTGGTTTATTTAAAAATCATAATTTTCTCTTTTAAATTAAAAAAAAACAAAAAATTAACTAATTATTCTTATAAGGGTATAATGTATTAAAAAATTACTTAATTACATATCAGCATTTTCAAAAATATACCTGATTTTTCTTTTTATCTGGATCAACTTTTACTCTTGAATTTTTGATAAGTTGTGCAAGTACTATGCAGAATAATACTACAAACAATAGGAAAAAAAAACTATATAATAAAATCAATTATATAAAAATAAGATTTCTTAATAAACCTAATAAGTCTGATAAAGAATGATCTTGAAAGGCAGGTTAAATACATAATTCTCACCCAGTTTTTTTTCAAATATTTATTTATGTTACATTTTGAGGGTAATAAATGAATTGATTGTACTTTCAACATTTAATGTAACATTGCAATGGTTGATTCCCGATTCACAGAAAATTACTTCTCAGAAATTTATATTTTGAAACATGGCCACCAATATTATTGAAATGATTATTGATTATTCATTCTTTTATTCCAATTTTTTTCAAAAGAACACATGATAATTTAAAAAATGAAATATACAATCAGTTATTTTATAAAGATGGAAGTGAGACTGTAAATTGCCAAAAAATCAGGCATAATTATATTTATAAACAATAATTTATATTTTTTATTTTAGAAATTTTTTTATTTGAATTCTGAAGAAATATTTTTGTTTTGTATATTATTTATAAAAGACTTAAAGTTATGGCTGACATGCCCAGAAAAAGAGACAAGAATAAGTATAAAAGCATTTATTTTTGTTTCAGCATTATTAACCGGGTTCGAATTAACATTTTGAAAGGAAGAAACGCGTATGAAACACTCATTATAGTGAAAAAGATAGTGAATGTTAAATTATGGAAATAAATTCCCAATATATAGGCTGGATGTTAAGGGATATAATTGCAATACGCCCAAGACGAATCTATAAAATTTTGCAAAGATATTAAAACGAGCAGATATTTAAATAATAACATCCCACCCAATTATTTTCCATTATTTTCAGAGAAAAATATGAAGTTCAAGTAATATATCTTTATATTTTTAACATATAAACCCTTTATCAATATCATCAGATACAGATATATCAAAAGCAATTGGTAATCTAGGCTTGATTCAACAATGGTAATTTTTTTAATATATTTTATTTAACATATTAAATGTTAGCTTTTATCATGAGATATATTAAATAATTGTATATCTTGAGGCTTAATTGAATCATATGTAATAAAATTCATATTTTTAACATATAAACAAATTTTTAAATGAAAGAAAATTTGCTTTATTCCTATTTCTTTCTTTCTTTTAAAATTTGGAAACAATTAGTGTTAAATAAACATGTATTCAATCAAGCAATGAACTCACATAGCCTCTAAGTATGAACGCAACATAGGGGAAATTTCCAAGAAAACTTTTACCGGAAATTTCCCCTGTGGTTTCCCAAATTTTTATTTTATGTTTATTTTATGTTTATTTTTGATCAAATAATCAGCATTTATAGCATTTTTTATAAAAATATTTTTCCCTCTTCTTGGTTCATATATAATATTGTTTTTTTTTGTATGTACATTCATTTTAGATAATATAATAATTGCTAGTAATGTTCATCGGAAGGAAATTGTCTTACTGAAATATGTTTAAAATTTTTAATAATCACTGAAATAAGGATCAGGAGTAGGATTAAGAAATAAAATGTTAGTGGATAGTATAGGCCAAATTCGTTCTAAATAAGGTAAAAATAAAAATTTATTCACTAATAATGGGTGGGCAAGTATAAAAGTGGAAAGTATTATAAATTTTATAGCCATCCCAAATCCCATTTTCTATAAATTAATTAAAATGGATCAATATGCCTATGGGAGAATATATATATCTAATGAATTTAGTGAATTTATTAAAGTAATTGAAGAAATAGGAAACACAAAAATTAAAATATAAAGTATAATACAAATAATGAAGAAAGCCGTATACTTGTTAGAAATAAATATCCAATTATGAATGCATTGGGTCTACATCTCAAGGACTTAATTTGCTTTTAAAGATCTAAGAAATAAAATATTGCAATTTAAATTTTAGTAGCAAAAGCCCAAAGCATTATGCATCTTCTTAAAGATAAAAATAGAAATGTTTCTTTAAAGTCACCTAGCCCAACGCATTAAACACTATAGTTTTGATAAAAGTCTGTTAAAGAATAAAAATATTTTGCGGCAATTTTTCATATTTTTAGAGATAGGAGACTTAATCTTCTTGATAATAAATATTTTTAAATGATCTTGCACAGTGTTGTGTATAAAATATAAAAGGTTTTAAATTATAATTTTGTTTTTAATAAAATGAAAAGATCAAAAAGAAAATTTAACTACAATAATATATTCATTGATCGAATCAATCAATTACGATAAATTGTATCCTTAAACAAAATACAATTTATTTATAGTTAATACCTTACAGTTCTTTCCACTACATATTGAATTCGTCATGATAACGTAGTGGGGGTTTTGAAACTCTTTTTTAAAGAATTATATTTCCATTATGTTCCGCATTGACCAAATCTTCCGTCATTGTTATGTGTATTTCCTTAGCTAGTACATGAGCATCCCTCAGTTAGCCGGTGTAACGTGATATTTTAACTTAAATTTAAATTAACTCCCTTTAGTAATACTGACATTTAAGATTGACGTTATAATATATTTTAATAAAATATCATTTTTAACTTAAATTTAAATTAACTCCCTTAGTAATACTGACATTTAAGATTGACGTTATAATATATTTTAATAAAATATCATTTTTAACTTACATTTAAATTATCCCTTTAGTGATACTGACATTTAAGATTGACGTTATAATATATTTTAATAAAATATCATTATATAATTTAGTAATACTGACATTTATGATTGACGTATAATGTTAAAAGTTTTTATTATTTAGTAATACTGACATTTATGATTGACATGTAATGTTAAAAGTTTCTATTAATTAGTAATACTGGAATTTATGACTGGCATGTAATGTTAAAAGTTTCTATTATATAGTAATACTGGCATTTATGACTGGCATATAATGTTAAAAGTTTCTATTATTTAGTAATACTGGCATTTATGACTGACGTATAATGTTAAAAGTTTCTATTATTTAGTAATATTGACAATTATAACTGACATGTAATGTTAAAAGTTTCTATTATTTAGTAATACTGGCATTTATGACTGGCATGTAATGTTAAAAGTTTCTATTATTTAGTAATACTGGCATGTAATGTTAAAAGTTTCTATTATTTAGTAATACTGACATTTATGACTGACAGTTACTGCTTAAAATTTATATATAGCAATATTGACACTTATGATCGCCAGATGATGCTTAAAGTTTGTATTTGCAATATTGACACTTATGACTGACAGGTACTGCTTAAAATTTATATATAGCAATATTGACACTTATGACCGACAGATGATGCTTAAAGTTTGTATTTTTTCCAATATTGACACTTATGAGTGAGATAATTAAAATTTATAAGATAGATTATAATTTCTAATATTTAGTAATAATAACATCTAACTTTCAACCTTTTTAAATTTCTTATGCCTATAAATAATTTAACGCCGAAAACGTTATAGCTTAATTTAAAAAAGGTTTGATCAAAATTTATATACACTTGGTAGGTTAAATTTATTCATATTTAAGCATAAATTACATATCATTCATCTAATGATTCACTATTGTGACTTTATATAAAAATAACTAATTATAAAATGCTATATAGTATAAATTCGCAATTGAATAGAATTGAACTCATAAAAAAGATGCCAACCTATTGTACCTTTTATAAAATTAACTATTAATAAAAAATATAAAGTGCAATAATATTTAATAAAAAAATGCTTACCGATTATACTTTCAACTAAATTGCGATAAATATAATGAAATAAAAGTATAAGAATAAATATTAATTACATTGATAAAAAGGATGCCAACCTATTGTACCTTTTATTAAAATAACTATTAATAAAAAATATAAAGTGCAATAACATTTAATAAAAAAATGCTTACCGATTATACTTTCAACTAAATTGCAATAAATATAATGGAATAAAAATATTAGAATAAATATTAATTACATTGATATAATTCTAACAAAATGATTGTTATTTTCATTACATAAATATATATTTTCTTTAAAAATTTTAATATTATTAAAAAATTTCATGGGTGAATAATAAGCCCACTTATATTGGGTATAAATTAATATATTTGTCTGCAACAATGTGGCCATAGATAATATTTCCACCTCTGTTGCCCAGACACCATTTCCTACATTTCTGTCAATTAGGTATTCTTCTACAGGATATCCTATGAATTTTTCCATTTCCAATTTGAAATCGTTGCTCCTCATAAAGGCAACGCATTTCTCCCTCAGATTATTATAATTATCCTGACTATTTGATATTTCTTGACTTATACACCTATAAACATGTTAAATAATTAAATATTATATAAAGTAACTAACCTAAAAAAACAGTTTCCATCACCCTAAATATGATCGGTTATGAATATTTCCTTTAATATACCACTTTCGATCTTGGGATAACGGCCAATTACTTTGAAATTGAACCGTTTAGAGTGGTATACTTTCCAATTCCTAGTTGTGGGCAAAAAAACCTCACCAATTTTCTTTGGTATTATTGTATCAACAATAATTTCGTCATCTAAATTTGATAATTAAATAATAACATATTTTTAAAATATATTACCTTTACCCTGATCTTGTATGCCTACATATCCTCCCTCTCTTACTATACTTTTATAAGTTTGTTGGATCTTCACCAAATGTATCTGCATATAAAAAAATAATTAAATAATTTTATATATTATACCCTTTCTCTTGACATGGTTTATGTTGGTGTCCTCCTTTCCAATTTCCAACCCTAGGATTTTAGCTTTATCAAAAATAAAAATTTTTCAATTTTTTAAAAATAAAACTTTCTTCTGCAACATTTATTTCACAGGACATCTCTTCAAATAGTGTTTCTTCTAATGGAAATATAATAATTAAAAATATATTTTCCTTTTTTCCAAATGCATTTGATTACCTTCTCCTTCTCCAACTATAGTTTTAAGAAGCCTACAAACTTATTTGTTTAATATTATTTTTATGAATTAACTGTATATATTACCTTGATCTTGAACACCTACTATAGTTTCACAATGTACCATATTATTAGGTTTTTTAACTGTTTCTTTACCATTAAAAAAGTTATATTTGTATATTTAAAAAATACCTTTGTTCCCCTCGATATAGTGTTTTAAATTACTGAGG